TTATTATCTGCAAAACTTTCAATGCATAACTTTTTGTATATTGTAGATATGACAATTCTAAATATTTAGATATTTCTCTAAATAATATTCACATAATAAATTAGAAAATATGGAGTTTTTGAGAAATATGATTTTTTTTAATTAGAAAAAAAAACTATTTCAAAAAAATTATGTTGCAGTGTAATTAAAACTTTAAAATGATGATTTGAATAATCTCTAATAATGTAGCTATGTTATGAAACAATGAATTTCACCTCAACATTACATTTTGTTGCCTATCATTAAAACATTTTGTTAAATTCTGAGATGAGTCTATTTATATTTTTTTACTATAATGCAAATAATTATAGTATATTTGATTTAAATATGAAATTATGAGGAGATTTGGTGCATATGAAGAAAACTTTATTCTGATGCAAAATGAACATTCTCGTACTAAAGGCACATGATGGCGCCATATGTACACTCTATTTATTGAGAGTCATTGGGGGTGTTAAAACGGCTATTTGGGTCGGGTTCGAGTCGAATAGCTAGGTCAAAAATTCTTTAGAGAAACAGGTAAAAAATTCTGGCCTAGACCGTACGTACCAACTGAGTTGACCCAACTCGACCCGTGAGAGTCGAGCAAGAGTGCATGCAAGGCTGCGGGCGAGGGCACACCGCGCAAGCATCGATCATGATTGTAGGTGAGGGTGGACCATGTGAGCGCTGAGTATGAGCACCTATTGGATTGTGGATTGCGGGTGAGGGCAAATTGCACATGCCTCGAGCATGGATCTAAAGCGGGAGCGTCGAGCTTGACTAGCGAGGGTGAGGCCCCATCCTCAATCCATGCTCGATCTTCCTCTGCACTCTACTGCCGCAACTTGCAAAGTATTTTTCTCCTCTCTCTCTCTCTTCTAATTGCTCTAGGCCTCAAGCTAAGAAGAACCAAATTACCAAAGTTGCAAAGTGACAACTTGTGTCAAGTTGAAAAGTGAATATTTTTTTTTTAGATTTTAATTTTCACATTAATAAGCTAGATCAGAAAGATGAGAGCTAGCGGAACACATTCTGATGATTTTTTTTTTTAAATCAAATTATTTGCATTATAATTTAAAATGATTTATAATTTCACATTTAGATTTTGATTTTCACATTTAAAATAATTGATGTTGAATTAAGCTGATTATCACATTTTAATTTTCTTTGTTCATAAGTAGTTTATAAAAGTGATTCAAATATATTATAGTCGAGAACTATGTTGGAAGGATTACAATATTTGATTTAAGTTTTTTTTTTAACCATCATATTTGGATATGATAAAATCAAATATTTTAATATATATATAAAATATTTGATATGGTGAAATATTTTAAAAGAAAAAGTGAAGCAGACGTACGTGATAATACTGCAAAATCCAAACAAACTCATTCTAAACTTGATTTTGATGCAATCGTTTTAAGGTCTTCAATTAAAAAAAAAAACCTAAAACCGATAATGCTGGTCACAAGCCCGGATGAAAAGGGTTGCAGGTTTCATTAAAATCAATGATGCTCCCACGAGAAAAAAATCCTGGCTCCCTCATTGATCATGATGATTAAATATATACATATGAAGAAATGATGAACCATGATTATTATATATATGCTTTGAGATGAATGAATATTTGTATTTATATTTTGGACGATATTTTATTTTATGCATTGATACATTTTAGTAGGCTCTATATGTGAATTACATGAATAAAAAAAAATCTCTCCAATAATAAAATATAGGAAATTAATCGATCATACATTTGATCTAGTATAATCCATTAGAATATGAGAATTATATCGGGTTTGGTCATGATAATGATTGTGAACAGCAATGTGATTACCAATATGACATTATTGCTCAAAGACTCAATATCTCAACTTGCAACTAGTATGATAATATATTCGAAGTCTTCCAACATATGTGACCACTATTATTTGAGGGAGCTGAATGACTTATTGAAGCTGAGAATTAGTTAATATTGAATGAGAAGATAGTGGACACTGTGTCCTATCATGATAAGAGAAATGTGTATAAAACCTAAAGAAAACATAGAAAAAAAAAAAAAAGATAAAGAGATGTGTTATTTGCTACATTTTTGTTAGAACATAAATGAAAAGGTTGTTGGAGAAGTCATGTGTCACGACACTAATTTGTTCCTTCAATTAGGGCTTGGAATCGAAGGGATGAAGTTTTTGCACTCTCCTATAGGGCTTGAGTTAAGGTAAATGTAAACAAAATAAAACTTTTTATATTTTTTATCTTTAATGAAAACAATTTGTTTTGAAACACTAAATCTAGTTTATGCTTCAAGGCTGAATTATTGGTTGGGGTTGCATGTGGGGAAGAAGAAGAGAAAGATAATAAAAGAAGATTGAGGCATCACAAAATAAGAAAAGAGTATTCAAGATATGAAAATTCTAATAGATGAAATTAGGTATTTATGGAAAAGAATAAATACATTCATCTGAATTTTAATGTATCTAAAGTTAATCTCGAAACATTTGAAGTATGACTTAAATTAGTAAATAAATTAGATTATTAGATAAAATCAAAGATGTATAAAATTTAACATGTACGTAATTAAATATTAATGATGTAATATGAATATTATTTTGTTGAAATGAGTATGATTTATATTATTAAGTAATAACTTTTGTTTTTTGATATTTGAGCCATTAAGGTTGTTGCGGGCAAGAATATACGCGGCGATAGAGTTGTAATTTTACGTCTTAGCGTTGCACGGATATCCAGCTCACACACAAAGAACATATGATTTTTAATGTAGAAAACTCTGGAAAGGGGAAAACCCATGGGGCCTAGCCCAGTTGAAAATATTTTACAAGAATTTGAGTTGAATACAATGAGTTGACTCATCATTGAGGGCGACCAGATTACAAATGTCAACCATATGGTTGAAGTCTAGTGTTAAATTCGATGTCACTTTGAAGTTGGGGTAGTCTGACATTGACTTGGTAGAATTCAGGCATCAGTTGATGGTCTGACGGAGTTTAGGGCCTCAAGTGTTGGTATGGTGGAGTTCAGGCTCTTAAGTGGTGATCCAGCGAAGGTGAGGGCCTTAGGCGGTGGTCCGGTGAAGGCGAGGGCCTCAGGTGTTGGTCCGGCGAAGGTGAGGGCCTCAAGTGGTGGTCCGGCGAAGGTAAGAGCCTCAAGTGGTGGTCCGACGAAGGCAATAGTCTCAAGTGGTGGTTCGGCGAAAGTGAGAGCCTCAAGTGGTAGTCTGACGAAGGCGAGGGCCTCAAGTGGTGGTTCGACGAAACTGTGGCGGCGGTCCGACGAAACTCCGGCGGTGGTCGAGGAGGAGCTTCTTCCTTCTCTTCATTCTCTTCTCTTATTCTCTTATTACTTGGATTCCTTTTCAAGAGAAAAAGTGGTCTATTTATAGATTTATGGAGTGATATGACCCATAAATAGGTGAGCGATCAAGGGTAATTTGAGAGTGGTTGGATGGACGACTGATGTTGAATTCCTTGATCATGGACCGTTTGATGAACATTTGAATGTCTTAGTGATGTATGATTTTGGTGATCTTGGGCTCGTTGGATTTGTCTCATCGAGTCGCTCGATTCGATTATAAGCACGTTATGTTTGGAAACCGTTTAGTAATCTAAATTATGGTTCGAACCTTCCAATAGCACTTCTAATCCTTGATTTGAACCAGTTTGGGCTCGGATTGGGTTGGATTTGGCGTCGTTGGGTTTGATTTCTCTAGACGCTCAATTCGACTATAAGTTTGTTGAAATCGGAGTTCAGATGATCCCAATTTTAATTTCGAAACTTTCCAACTTGTTGTGCATCGAGATTTGTGCCCGATCAAGATAATTTTTTGGATGACATATCAAGGTCAACTCACACACACATATACAAGCTTAGAATCAAAGATCTTTTGGCTAGCAACCAAAGCCCCCAACCATCATACCAAAGTAAGTTCCCTTATTAAATAACAGCTTATTATATGTTAAGGATTTGAGGGTACAAAGGGTACAAAAATCATAAACTTAATTTTAAGTGAAGGTACGAAGAAATAGCATTACACACACAAGTTATAAAAAAATGTTTTGATTGGATACGAATCCTGATGCATATTTAAATGAAAAATTTTCAAAATTGAATTCAGGTTCATCTTAACTCCAATCTCAACAAATTTATATTCAAATTAACGTTATGAGTCAAAACCAACAATATCAAAAGTGGTCTAATATGAGTATGAAAGAATCCAAATCTAACATTTAAAGCATAATTGAGAGTTTCATGATATTAATTAGATATTAAACAATCTATAAATCATGCATATACTTATAATCAAATGATCTTGGGCTCGTTGGATTCATTATATTAAGAGGTTTGATTTGGATCATTTGGTCATCCAATTAATATTAAGAATTTATAACTGTTTTTCAAGTGCTTACTTTGAGTTCATTCTGTCTCAGATTGAATCACTTTTCCTATGTTTGAGTTTAACTATCGAGACATTCAATTCTACTATAAATTTTTAAAAAATTAATTCAAGTTAAAAAATATTAAATTAAATATACATCGATATTCGCACGTGTGTGTATATATATATATATATATATATGATAGTTAATTTTTATTATAATTTTTTTCTCTCTTATATTATTAAATTATTTTAAATATATAATTTAACTGAAAAATTAGTTAAAATATCATAATGAATTTAAAATTAATACTTAATATTTTAATTATATTTAAAGTATAATTGATGGAATATTTATCATAAATTATATGATAAAATAAAAAATAGTAATAAATTTATATCATTATATGTAATAATTAAATTAAATATCATAAAAAATGTTAATTTTTAACATATTCATATTAAAATTAGATTACGATATTTCGACTAATGTTTTTTAATTTAATTTATAAATAATAAAATTATTAATGATTTTTTTAAACAATTTGATACGTGTCAAATATATTGTTATTTATAAGATGAATATCATTCGTTTCCTATCCTCTTTCCGTCTCCGACCTCCAGATCTCTCTTTCTCTCATCCTCCCACCTCACTCTCTCCCCTGCTATCCGAAACCCTAACGATTCCATTTCGCTCGCCCGAAGCGGAGGGATATTTTTTGTTGATTTTTCGCTTGTAGCGAGTACCGTTTTGCGTCCGCTTCATCACCGCCTTGGTCTGATCTAACTTCATTAGTGAGGATGGCCTACGGAGATCGGCTTACGAGCTTTGAGGATACGGAGAAGGAGAGCGAGTATGGATACGTCCGCAAGGTATCGTTTCCGTAATCCGTTTTTGATTGATTGATTTGCAGAAGATTGATGGATTTGGGTGGATTTAAACTATTTTTGGTGGAGGCGATTACTGAGTTTGCTTACGTATTTTTGAGTCCAAAATGCTGTCGGTTCGTCTGAATTTTCTTTATATTCGTTTGAATCTAGGATGCATTGGTGGGCATATGCTAAGCGCACAGTATCTATTGAAGTTTGGACCGTAACGCGTTGGTTGTTTGACACTTTGACCTTCGTTTGTAAAACATGAAAATAAAATATTTATACTGATAATAATAGGTATTTGCTGACTCAATTTTTACGTGAAATTGGCCAATGCCATTTAACCTGGGTGAATGAGGGCTTCTCTCTTTATACGAGTTCTTCATGGGCCACGCTCTTATAGAACATAACCTTTATATTAGTGATTCAGGAGGTTTTTCCATTTGTGAACTTGGCTAATTCGGCTAGCCAAGCTCAAGGGCGGATCCAGGGGATGTAGCAAGAAGAGGTTAATCTAACCCAGATTTGGATTATCCAATAATGACATTAAATCATGCAAATCCACATGGGTGGATCAGGTGTACAAGGAGGCAGATCAAGTTGGATGAATCTGGCCTACCTAGATGTGGCTATACTAAACTGTACAATAAAAAATGCATGGTAATTTGCATGGATTTCTCTGGAGTATTGCAAAGAACACAAAGGATCACAATGATAACTTAAACAACCTTTTTCTATTTATCTCTACTCCCTCTTAGACAAAAAATTCAAATATAAGAGGATTATCTGTTGGATAAGCGAGGGGAAGAAGATGTATTAAACGGAGTGAAGGATTTAGTGGGAAAGCTCATTGTTCAAGTGATATTGCTTTGGTAATCAACCCTTCAAGCTTGGAATAATTTTTATTTGTACTAGTTATGGAGACTGTGGACAGAGTAATGTATCCTAGGGAAGAGGATTGAGATTCTTATGACACACCAACTATTGATAGGAGAGTGAAGGAAAATATACCAAGCGATTGCCAACCCTAAATCTTTCCAGTTAAAGTGGATTTGACGTTGGAGGCTTGGAGTTCATTGTTCCAGTGAAACTTTAGCACTTGGAGACATAGTTGTCCATCTTCAAGTATATTAATGCTCAAATATTTCTTTTGCACATCTTCAATTATTCTCACATGCAATGATTTGTTGGAACTAGGAATCCAAGAACTGTGACCTATTGAGAATGACATGGACATGTTTCAAAGGATCATTGTTGGCTCAGTATTATTCCATTCGACTTGAATCTATGAGCTAGGTCTGCTGGAAATAATGGAGATAGAGACGGGCAAATTATGTTATAGTTCTCTATCATAGGCACTATAAGATTTTCCATCAGCGAGCAAGATATATCTATGTTGTGGTTATTTTAGCCATGTGTTGTGCAATCTTTGACAACCCATTTTTATGGTAGAGAGATGCTATGTACTCTAGCAGAGAGCAAAAATATCTATTTTTAATGAAAGGGAAAAAACATGCATTCCACAGGTTTATTCCACCATCAATGGAACCTGTAGCAACAACCAAGCATTTTATAAGAGTGGTGACAAACTATGACATCTATATATCATTTTATTTTTTGCAAGAGAAAACAACAATCATCCTTCATCTTCCAAGAAGTGGAAAAGAAGGTTTCCAAAAGTAGCCATTAGAAGCACATATAAGTTGCCTTGCCAACCTAGACAATTTTAAGCTGTAGCCACCTTACCAAAAAATATAATCTTAGAAGAAGAAACAACCTTGCCATGCTAGGCAAGCTCAGTCAACACGATTTGCATGATCCAAAATTGGGGTGTTGAAGACTTTGGAACCATTAGGAAGGATAAAAGTATCAGGTCTTTTTTATACTTATTTTTTTTTTGACAATTCAAGTGATGGCTAGAAATTTCACAATATTCCCTCTCTCTCTCTGAAAGGGGATGGATGTCATACTCTCTAGCTAAATGTTAGCGGCCAGCCATACCTCCGATACTCTTTTTCCTAATTCTCTCTAGAATCTCTTCCCATTTTATCTCTCTACCTGTAAAATCTAAAAAGAGGTGGAATTAATTCCAAAAGTAGAAGGAATTAGTAGAAAATAACTACAAAGGTGTAAGAAGTGCTGGAAGCCATCATCCAAATAAAGGTAAATTATAGACATCATCAATCTAATTCTAGTTTCCATAAATCTCACTCTCACCTTGCCCTCTCTCCAATCATCAAACTCAACTTGGTTGAAACCTTCAAGAACACCTAATAATAGGTTGAAGTTTGAAAAGTCTCTTAAACAAGTAAGAACCTTAGCACTATCCAAGTATTTATTTTGCATCATTGCCGTAAAATTTCTATCACTAAGCCATCTATCTCACCATCACCATCCGAAAGCTGCAAAAAGGCTTTTCATTAAACCATCTCATTTTGGGACCAGTCAAGTTATTTGAGATCATTATCATCGTTCTCTGTGACCGTGGTTGGAAGCTTTTGAAAACTTTTTTAGCCATTGATGTAACACTAATAGATATTTCTTTATTAGTATTATCGAAAGCATCCAAATATTTCTTTGTTTGATATTCTCTTTCCCATGCTTTAGTTTCTCTTAATTCTCATTGCGCTTTAAACTTCCAACACTTTGTTTTGTTCATGTCAGTTTTATAGTCTAGATGATGAATGAGACTGTATTTATTTTGGCCTTCTTCTTTTATTTTTCCACATTCTTTGTTGCATAGTTTTGTTATATGCCTTGAGCTAACAACTTCCTAGGTCTTTTTTAGGTCAGAAAGAAAATAAAAATGGTTTCTATTATCTTGTCTGGCACTTTATACTAATTTTGGCTTACGGTGGTAATAGATGACAAAGATAAGGGCTACTTCCGAATGGCTGTATTGATCTTTATTAGGTTTTAAGGACTAGCCTCACATCATCCAGTTTGCACAATTTGTGGGAATATTGAAAGTCAACAAGATTTGCTAGTAACCTGCAATCAGTTCAGCATGGACTTTGTCAGAGTTTATTCTATTACTTACTGGCACATCCAATAGATTAACATTAATGCTTTATTGGATATGAACTCCGTCATCCTTCTTTTGTATTTTATATCGAAACATTCATTAAAATATGCTTTTGTCATGTGCCTGTTTACTTATGTAACATTGTTGACTGTTTACTTATATAAATAGTCGTAATCTCATAAAGCAGGCCTCACGTCTGATTTTCTTTTCACTTGGAACTATTTACACATGATCGTTTAGGTATCAGGTCCAGTTGTGGTGGCAGATGGAATGGGAGGAGCAGCAATGTATGAACTGGTTCGAGTTGGTCATGACAACCTTATTGGGGAAATCATCAGGTTGGAGGGAGATTCCGCCACCATTCAAGGTATGGAATATAATATAGCTTATCATGTACCCGTACATCAGTCCTTTTGGTTGCTTTAAAGTTTCAACTCTTTCCTGCGGCAATTTTATGCTGGGTTGTAAAGAAAATGAACAAAATCACAAAGCTTGTTGTTCCACTGGATGACAGTTTATGAAGAAACAGCTGGATTAATGGTGAATGACCCTGTTTTGCGAACTCGCAAGGTTAATTTTTGGAGATCTTTATCTTCAGTATTTTTATTTTGCTTGAAATTTTCTTGATTTTTTATTTTTTAATAATTTGCAGCCTCTTTCAGTTGAGCTGGGGCCTGGGATATTAGGGAACATTTTTGACGGAATTCAGGTTAGCTTATCTTTCTATTTATTTTGCAAATTGAAAAGGTCTAACAGTAGAAATTGTTTATTAATTGCATTAAAGCACTTAGGATTTGCGCTTTTGTGATGTTTTTATGCCATTTATCACTTTGATTAGTTTTAAATGTTTCCACTCGCTTTGATCTTATATTATTTTAGGTACAGGATTTGTAATTCATTTTTCTTTGACATTCATATGGAATGATTTTCTTATTCTTTTGCAGAGACCTCTAAAAACTATTGCAATTAAATCCGGTGACGTGTATATCCCTCGCGGGGTTGCGGTTCCTGCTCTTGACAAAGATATCTTGTGGGACTTTGAGCCAAAAAAGTTTGGTAACTTTTAAATTGGCTGAAATGAATAGATTCCTCTTACTAGTTTTTGTGTGTATCAGTGAGCTAATAATAGCTTAACTATCTCATTTATTCTCTTTCATGTCCCAGTTGTTGGAGATCATCTAACTGGTGGGGATTTATATGCTGTAAGTTATATTGCTGATATGCTATGGTGATTTTGCTTGTTTTAGTCTGTTTTTTTTCTTTTTCCTTTATTTTGTTTTATTGAATGCTTACCTATTGACTTTATGATGTAGACTGTCTTTGAAAATACTTTGATGCAACATCACGTTGCACTTCCTCCTGGCTCTATGGGAAAAATTTCATACATCGCTCCACCTGGTCAATACAGCTTAAAGGTTCATAGCCACCGCCAATTTCATCCCAACAGCCGTGCCCTCACCAGTTTTTTCTTTCTTAAGGCATTTAGTTATTTCTACTTATTGCAATATTTCTCCTAATTTTGGCATTTTTGTATTCTACATTTGCAGGATACTGTGCTTGAACTTGAGTTTCAGGGTGTGAAAAAGGAGATTAATATGCTTCAGGTTTGTTATAATCATCTACTGCAAAAATTCTATCTATCTAGGAAAACTATTCAGTAGTTTGGGATGCTTATTTCAATGCACCATGTAGACATGGCCAGTCCGTTCACCAAGACCTGTTGCATCAAAGCTTGCTGCGGATACGCCTCTCTTAACTGGGCAAGTAAGTTTATTTCTTGTATGTGATGTGCACGATTTTGTGTCATCCTGATTCTTAATCATGAACAAGTTTATTTCTTGTATGTGATGTGCACGATTTTGTGTCATCCTGATTCTTAATCATGAACATGTGGATGTTTCAGCGTGTTCTTGACGCCCTTTTTCCCTCTGTCCTTGGAGGAACTTGTGCTATTCCTGGAGCTTTTGGTTGTGGTAAAACTGTTATTAGTCAAGCACTTTCCAAGGTACCAAGATCACATTGTTGCTTTCTTTTTGTTTTTATTTTTTGATATGGAAAACTATTTTGCTTGTCTATTTATGTGATTATTCTCATTTACGATGTGCAGTACTCTAATTCTGACACAGTGGTCTATGTGGGCTGTGGAGAAAGAGGAAATGAGATGGCAGAGGTTTTACTCTTTGCAATATACTTCTTTATAATCAAATTATCTTTTAGTTAATTTTAACACCATATATGATTAAAATCTTTTTAAACCAGGTGCTCATGGATTTTCCTCAATTAACCATGACACTGCCTGATGGTCGTGAAGAATCTGTAATGAAACGAACTACACTTGTGGCCAACACTTCCAACATGCCTGTGGCTGCTCGTGAGGCCTCAATTTATACGGGTAAACATTTTGATCTAGCTGTTGGATTTACATACCCGACAATTCATCAAAATTAGTTGAATTTATGAGTGCTTATAGGATTTTTCTGTTATGCTAATATTTTTTGCTTAACAGAGCCAATTCTGTTATTTTTGGCTGTTTTGAACTTGTGAAAACTTGAGTACTTTTCCCTTTGTGAAAATGACCATTGTTGTTCTCTCTTCCACATGCACTTGAAGGAGATGTGCAGGACTATTGGTTTATTCGTCTATTCGTCTGCAATATTGAACCAAATGACAGTGTTAAGCTCTTTTGAACCGAATCTCAGTGTTAAGCTCCACAGAGTTACTAATGATTCAAATACAACAACAACAACAACATCAAGCTTTTATCCCACTACGTGGGGTCGGCTACATGAATCCTTTTTCTCCATTGTGTCCTATTAAAAGTCAAATTCTCGTTTAAATCTAATAAAGAAAGGTCATTCCTAATATTTTCTAACCAAGTCTTTTTAGGTCTACCCCTACCTTTCTTAACATAAGTCAAATCTAATACCTCTACTCTCCTAACCGGGTCATCGCAAGGCTGCCGTTTTATGTGACCATAGTAATGGATTTTATATGCGTAGGCTATTGCTTTGAAATGCACTTAAGATAATTTTGAATTTGGGTGGTTTTAACTTTCTTTCTCCATTGCATTCTTCCTTTTTTTTGGTTTAAAAAATGCAAACATATCCTAATCCCAGTTTTCATTTCGATTAGTACCATAAGACTTAATTATCTATGGAAGCCTATGCTTTGCCATTCTTATATATTGTTTGGAAAAACTATTTTTTTCCAGTATTCATTTGTTGCTTCTTTGCTATTTTCTCTCAATTAGCCATTTTTTGGTATCTTCAGGCATCACAATAGCTGAATATTTTAGAGATATGGGTTACAATGTTAGCATGATGGCTGATTCAACGTCTCGCTGGGCAGAAGCTTTGCGTGAAATATCTGGAAGATTGGTACTCCTTTTTTAATATCTGGATCAAATTATGATTTATTGTTGTTTCTTTACATTATATTTTTAGTTTAACGTTTGAATGTGTTTTAATTTCATTATTTTCATTTACATTATTGATATCCAGTTGTTCTATGTGTCTGTTGATATATTTAAATTATCTAATTTTATATTTCATGCTATTAATCCGTTTTATGGACAGTGAAAACTTGGCATCTCAATCCCGTAGTTGTATTGACTAAATTATTGACAAGTAAAAGAACATAAAGACATGTTTTTTTAACTCTGTTTTTATCTCCTTATGTTGTGCGGAAATATTCTTTTCTAATCTTATGATAGGAAGTGCTTGTAGAAGTCAAAGAACCCCTGGCTAAATTTTCATTTCAGCAATCTAGGGCTGCAAGCGAACCAAACGTTCGACGAGCTACTCGTTGTTCGGTTCGATTAAAGCTCGTTTGTGATCGTTTAATTAGTTAAACAAACAAACTTGAACAATATTTTAAATACTCGATTCTTAAATAAACAAACTTGAACACTAATGCGTTCGGCTCATTTATGTTCGCGAACAATATCATTTGAAGTTCGTGAACAAGCTCGACATTTATATAACTACATTGCCCTGGAGAGGGCTTGTAGAAGTCAAAGAACCCTTGGCTGAATTTTAATATCAACAATTCCAAACACAATCCACAAGAAGAATTATGGGGAATAAGAAGAAAAACCTTTTTAATTGATGATATATGGAAGAAAAACAAACAATATACAATGGATTTTCAATTGGAGAGGAAGATTGGTCTCTCCCAAATCCCTAGTTGCCGGCTAGAGCTCAATCAACCTAAGGACAATCTAAATTCAACAAACAAGTCATAATCCTAACCCTAAGGAAACAACCTACTTATGGAAAACTACAATTTTCCAAATCCCCAATAGCCCTCCTATTTTGCCTTTCCCTCCTAACCTCCTCCTTTTCTCCTATTCAAAATTTCCCTTGGGCCCCACCCAAAAGGGTGGGCAATCATCCCTAGCAGAAGTCAGTTCTGCCTCAAATATATATACTATAGAATCAATCCGGCCCTCCAGTTGGGACCGATCTAACATCTTCCCATGATAGTAAATATAATTTTGGTCAGTAGCTTGTGGAGAACATTAGAAACCGGTTATTTTGTCAAACTAAATATATTTGTATTGTATTCATTCATCCTTGATACATTAGGAATACTCTAAAGAAATATATTAATTTATGTGTCGATTTTCTATATTTATTATTTTGTGTTATCTAATATTTCTTCTTCTTTGATTCGTTTGTTTCTGTTACTTGATTGATGATATTTATGTGCTTTTTTTATTTTTTTTTAAATTTATGTTGGACAATGTGTACTCAGGCTGAAATGCCAGCAGATAGTGGTTATCCTGCATATCTAGCAGCACGATTGGCTTCCTTCTATGAACGTGCTGGGAAAGTGAAATGTCTTGGTGGTCCAGACCGCACTGGTAGCGTTACAATTGTTGGTGCCGTGTCACCTCCAGGTGGTGATTTTTCAGATCCTGTAACATCTGCAACTCTTGGTATTGTTCAGGTGATTATTGCCATTAATATTAGTTCATTTAACTAGTTAATAGTTTTGTTACAGTGAATCCTATGGCATTTTACATTTCCAGGTCTTTTGGGGACTGGATAAGAAACTAGCTCAGAGGAAGCATTTTCCATCAGTGAATTGGCTTATATCATATTCCAAGTATACAAAGGTTGGTTTGATTTCTTTTGTTTGATGTATTTTTTTGGTAGAGCATGCTTTTAATGGTGATTCGTAGAAAGAATACGTTCTGGTTAAAATTTTTTAGAAATTTCATTTACTAACTGGTGGAACCTAAAAATATTTTTCTTGAAAAGTTATTATGGATGGCCTAAATTTTCTTTTGCTGGAACCGAATTATGTATTCTTAATTTTGGCATCTGTTTAGAAGGGTGTTCATATGCCATTGAAGCACTGAGCATACGACTCTCTGCCATCCATGCAAAGGAATGCATTGTGTCCTTTTTTTATAGGTTCCGTTATTTTTTTTTTCCACTTTGCATTTTACAATGGAGTCAATGATGTGTAAATTATGCAGTGGAATGCAAATGTCTGTTTCTGTTTTTTTTTTCTTTCTTGAGCTACCTTGCAATTTTTTAATTTCTCCAAGGAGCCTACCATGCTTAATCAACTGTGTTAATGATCCCAAAATACTAACATGCATTTGTTATTGTACATTGTTCTATAGCTAAAATAGTTTTTCTCTGTTAAAATCCTATTTACATATCCTCCTCTTGAACATTTCAGTTGAAATAATTACGTAGATAGGATTAAGTCTAAAGGTGATTATAATACTAGCTAGGATAAAAAAAGTTAGGATCAATGTGATAAAATGAATTATCTAAGATTATAGCAACTTGGATGGTATCTGATTTCTAAATATATTTTCATTTGAACTATCAAGCTTCTTGTTTGCTTGCATTCTTTATGGTTTCTAGTTACCTATTGTACTTTAGTTATTCTTCTTTTTTTTAAGGTTTACAGATATGTAGTCGTATGCTTCTGATTTTAAATTGAAATATGTTATTGGAGTAGCATATCCCACCAATAAAGCAGTCCTACACTTAAGCTTATTCTACTTAATATATGTTTATTTGCAACTGATACAGCAGAATCAGTTCTCTGAAGTAATGCCCTTGTAATATCAGGCATTAGAATCTTTCTATGAGAAATTCGACTCTGATTTTATTGACATTAGAACAAAAGCTCGAGAGGTGTTGCAGAGAGAAGATGACTTGAATGAAATTGTCCAGGTATATTTTTTTTTTGCTGCAGTGAAGTCATTGTCACAATCTTCTTTTGTAACCTTGTTTAGCTATATGTTGTTTTTATGGTTTCTTGACAAAGGCCTTCACTTGATCATATGATATTGGTCAGAAGAGGGCATTCTTTTATTTGTTTTGTACTTTTATGAGTGTTAGGATGAGGCTAGTAAACACTGCCATGAATATTTCACATTTGAAATTTTTTTTTTCAACTTCTTCACCTGGGTTTTTCTACAGGTTCAATGAAAGTTCTAAAACTGGGAATTGGATTCAGTTGTTGTTTGAGAGCTGCCTTGTCATTTATTTCGTCCTTTGTGCTATAAGTGTCATTTTTTATTTTATTTTTAACTCTCTTCCTCGCACAGCTTGTGGGAAAAGATGCTTTGGCTGAAACTGATAAAATTATTCTGGAAACGGCGAAGCTTCTGAGGGAGGATTATCTCGCACAGAATGCCTTTACTCCGTAAGATAAACTGGCTTGTCATTTTTTGGTGCTCTTCCTCGTATGGTTTGGTCATTGTTTTTATTTTTCATTCGCATTTATTGCAATAGGTATGATAAGTTCTGTCCATTCTACAAGTCCGTTTGGATGATGAGAAATATCATCCATTTTCATACTCTAGCAAACCAGGTTAGTCTTTTGGTTCCAGTTCTACATCTTTAGTTTGTTGACTTGCTAGCCATAATTATGGTAATTGGATTTAAGGTTATTTCTCTTCAATTAGCTTGCTTTCTAATATCTGTTTAGGAAATTACTAGGAATTCGTCTTCTTGGATTAGTAAGTGTGTAATCTGGAGTTTCAAATTGATATGCATATGTAACCAAATTGATCCAATAACACGACATATAGTAGAATAACTTCTTCAACTTTAGTTTTACTGATGCATTTCATTGATAAAAACAATTCAATATATGTAAAGATATCAACCCATGAACTAGATTCCAAGTCATTTGAATATCTTTACACTTCAAACTCAATTGTTTTCTCATTTAATTGGAGCCATCCATTGTGAAAATTTTGATGCATTCAATTGATGATCAAGTAAGTTAAAAAATTTCTTGAAATCATGTATGCCACATTTTAATGATGTGAAGGAGAATCATTAATCTTGCAATTGAAAGGTTATAAAGTTTAATTGGGTGAAGCATGACAATTCTCCTTTTAGTAGAGAAGTGCTCTCTTTCTCTCTCTATATATATTTATGTATACTATTATTTGGAAAGGCTTATTTTGCACACAGATTTTTTTGAAGTTAATTACAATAATATAATAAGACATCAAAATTAGCAATGATGGAGTACAGCTTGAAAATAACTTGGTGATTTTATTTTATTATTTTTTAAATAAATATTTGACTGTTGATCAGACTTGATGAAAAATAAACAGCATGTAATGAATGCCCCTGTAAGAAGTACCATGCACCACTAATTTGCATGGAATTGAAAGCCATTGAAACTCTTATAGATATTGTATTGTATATGCTCAAAAGTTTATTTAAATGTATGGACGCTGACATCATTCTTGAAAATTTGCATCCTATTATTTTTCATGGTTCAGAGCACAGTTTCATTTCTTGAATTTTCAATTGAATGTTGTATGATCGAAAAATAAATCAAAATAAAATTGCAAAAAAAAAAAAAAAAAAAACTATCATTATCTATGAGCAAGGATGGTTGCGCTTACCCTTACATGTGCGTGTAATTTTTTTTTTTTATCTATACTTATTAGACATCATATTCCTTGATGCTGTGGTAATCTTACAGGCTGTTGAACGGGCTGCTGGCTCAGATGGCCACAAGATAACATATAGCTTAATCAAGCATCAGCTTGGTGACCTTTTCTACAGGCTGGTGTAAGTTTCCTTTGCCACAGGATTTCCATAAATTCAATTTTACAATATTTTTCATTTTTTTAATGTTTAGTATGTGAAGATTCTTGACAAGTTTTTTACGATGACTGCTATAATCCTCAATTTTTCTCGTTCAGGACTTGGGACCTGTCAAGTATAATATTTATTGTGTTTTTTTTTTAATGTTTATGAATATAGAATTGTGGTTTTATGTAAATCCCTTTGTTCGAGTTTTCTAAGAGATGCCAGTAGTATAGATATTTGATCCTGATGAATACAAATATGTTTTGAGATTATAATTTTTTTTATTAATCAGCAGTTCATCACTATTTTGTTAAATGCTGCAGATCACAGAAATTTGAAGATCCTGCGGAGGGTGAGGATGCCCTTTCTGCAAAATTCAAGAAACTGTATGAAGATCTGACAATTGGATTCAGCAATCTGGAGGATGAGAGGAGGTAGAGGGGACGGCAGGTAGATATTTTCTCTTCTGATATTTAAGTTATCTCGCCTATTTCAGCTTGCTGTTTTTATATATGATGCTTATTGATTAGTATCTATGTAATAATTTGGGTAGACCAAACCAAAGTGTATTTGCTGCTCCCTCTTAAGCTTTGATTTTAAACCTATACACGCCTTCTTTTTATTGTTCATCTTAAAATAAGGAAAAATTTATGGAGGAGAGGAGTAGTATATTATTGTATTTTCTGTATAACTGAGAATGAGATTATGGTGAGCTACTTTCATCATACCTTGGTTTTAATGGTATTGTTTTAATTTACTTTATTTTGTCGTTTATTTGAGCATCTTTACATTTAAAAAAAAGAACAATATTGTGTCAAAACATCCTCAGAACTAACTGACAAGTGGTATTAGTCGCTTGTTTTTTTTTTTAAGTTAATTCATCATCTTCGTGGCCTTGAGTTTTATGTATTTCATAAGAAAGTTTGTAAATGTCTTCATTTTTTATGTCAAAATAATAAACTTATGATATAATTGCCTTCAAAATTTAATAATGAATCAAATGCTCATAAATATTTTTATTTTCTTTGAATAAGTTATGTTAAAAATTTTAAATATCACTGAATATAATTTTAAAGTGTCTGAAGAGGAATTGAATGCATTAAAAAAGAAAAAATCTCAATTGTACTCTAGCCTATTTTGTAAACGTCAGCTTTTCTCGAGGTAGAGGGATTTGTGCTCCTTTCTAATGGATTTGATGACAAATATAATGTAATGTTTTTTTACTTGCATCAAAATATAACATTTTAGCAATGCATCAACATCGTAGCCATATTAACTGCATAATGCACGCAACAACAATATTATTCTAGTAAAATAATACTTTTAAATTACTAAATAGTTGGATAAAAAATTGAACGAATTTTCTAGCTTGTTCTAGGTATTTCGTAACATGTTAAAAAATGCTCATTATCATAAAAATCACTTTCTTCACGACCAAGTTCTTTTTAATTAAACAATAACCTCTTCCACTTCAAGTTTGATAAAGCACTTGACATAAATATTTTTCTTTTTTAATTTGGGCGTGGTTTTTTTCTTATTTTGTTTATTAAAAATTTAAGCCTTTTATTTATTTTTTTCATTTCCTTGTGAGAACGAGATGCGAATCAGAATTAAGTTTTAATTTAGTTTTCAGCAGTAAATAATTAGAAAATTCAGAATAGAATAAAAACCCAAAACAATTTTCGTCAACAAGAAATACATGGGAGGTCTGAAGCCTACCAAAATAATAATAATAAAAAGCAAGATAAGCTGCCCAGGTAAAGGTAAAGCGGCTAAAAATCCATTCAAATCTACCAACTTACTAAAGATTTGATAATGAAAAGAAGATGAGAGAGCGTAGAAAAACAAATTAATTCAATAGCTGCGATAAAAATAACACACAAGATCTGCTATGTTCTATGTTAGAACAGAAATATAGCTTATTTTCTAATTATTTTTCATAGAGCAGTAATATATACCTTAACTGCAAGTCCTTGGTAAACAAATATACGGCACAAATTAACAAAGATAACGAAGGGGTAAAGCCACAAAAAAAAACTTTATAGTTCCTTCAAACTCTATCCCTCAGAACCTGTAGTCTGAAGAATTTGGTATCGTCTTCCTCCTGAAATGTTCAACAAACTTAGAGGGCTCTAAGGAACTGGAAAAGTTATAATAATAATAATAATAATAATAATGATGATGATAAATCTTTAATGAAACAATAAAATATTTTGATATGCCCATCGTGATAAGTTATTGCAAGATCCAGAAAGTTCGGCTGGGAACAAACAAATTGAAGACCAATAAGGAAAGAATTCATACAGCAGTACACAATAAAAAGTAATTCTGCAACTCCAACGAGTTTTGTTTTTTTTGGCTTAGAGCACAAAATGCTATCTGTTGGGAGGAAAATATTGAAAATGTTGGGCCTATAAATAAGCATATATGAGCATACAACAAAGAGAGAAATGAAAGCGATAATACCCTCAATTATATGAATATAAAAATATATTCCTAATATAGCCACCTTCAAATGCTAAGAATAATGTACCAATAAATAATATATCCCTCAAGCTGTAACATATATATATATATATATCTCTCTGCTTTGAATTTAAAACCCGAGTAATATAATTGTGAAAAGCATGACATGCAATATGAAATCTCAATCTACTTCAATAAGTTTAGGGTTTATCAATAAAATAATAAGATTGTCAGTAATGTAGATGATAACGCAAATGTCATGATATAGAGTTTGCATAAAGTTAAATGATTAAAACAAGCTAACCTCTCATAAAATTGTTTTTTTACCCATATTATTATTTTGCAAGCAAAATGTGTCAGCTCTTATTCAAATTACTAGATCTACCTATTCTATATGTTTCTTACTTTTTCAGTAACCAGATTGTCTTAGAAATGATGCAAAATCCTTATATTGACCTTTTGTCTTCAACAAAACTAACATATAGGTATAAAAGAAAAGCTTCAATATTCATATTTCAATTTTAATACATAACAATCGCTTCCTTGGAACTTTCATATATTTGAGAATTCATAGAACAACAACAATACACCTTTTTAAAATCTTTGCATGTTCTAAGTCACTAATCAACAATGAACAAAATATTATACCTAATAAAAATTAGATAAGTCAACTTATATGCTAACCTCAATGCTTAAAATTGCGTAATCGGGTATTGAAGCGTTTTTCATTCGTGAGGCGAGGCGTAAGCCTCAAAATCAAAAAATTGCGTAAAAATAAAATGATAAAATTTGTATATACTTGATATGTCATCAAAAAATTATCTTAAACGGGCGAGAATCTCAATGCAAAATCAAGTTGGAAACTTCAAAAATTAATTCGGAGACCATTCGAACTCCGATTTCAGCAAACTTATAGTCGAACTGAGCGTCTCGGAAATACGAACCCAACGACACCAAATTCGACTCAATCTGAGCCCAAATGTGTCTAAATCAAGGACCCGAAGCACTGTTGGAAGGTTCGAACCACAATTTGGGTTACCAAACGATTTCCAAACTTGACGAGCTTATACTTAAATTGAGCGGCTCGACGAAATAAATCCAACAAGCCCAAGATTGCCAAATTCCGACATCATTAAGGTCTTCAAATGTCTAAAGAACGGTGTATGGTCAAGGGATTCAACATCGGCCGTTCATCCCACCACTCCTCATTTACCCTTGATCTCTCACCTATTTACGGGCCATGCCACTCCAAAAATCTATAAATAGAGCTCTCTCCTCTTGAGAGAGGAGGAAAGCCTAAGGAAAAGAGAGAGAGAGAGATCGGAGATCACTCTTGCTTCCTTGCCTCCTCGACCATCGCCGGATTTCCGCCAGACCACCAGTTGACGCCCTGTGCTCCGCCGGACCACCACTTGAAGTCCTCACCTCCGCCGGACCACCGCCTGACGCCGTTGCTCCGTCGGACCACCACTTGAGGCCCTCACCTCTGCCGGACCACCGCCTGACGTCGTTGCTCCGCCTGACCACCACTTGAGGCCCTCACCTCTGCCGGACCACCGTCTGACGCCGTTGCTCCGCCGGACCACCACCTGAGGCCCGAACTTCTTTCGGACCACCACTTGAGGCCCACCTCCGCCGGACCACCGCCTAACGCTGTTGCTCCGCCGGACAACCATCTGAGGCTCTGACTTCTGCCGGACCACCACTTAAGGCCCGGACTCTGCCTGACCTCCATCACAAGACAATGGACTTTCAGACCCGGATCTCCTGCCAACAATGGTCTTTCAGACCCTGGTCTTCTGCCGACTACGGTCCTCCCGACCTCCGTCGCCTATTACGGTCACTCCGACCTCCATCACAGGACAACGGTCTTTCTAACCCTAGTCTCCTGCCGACTACGATCCTCCCGACCTCTGTCGTCTATTACAGTCACTCCGACCTCCATCATAGGACAACGGTCTTTTTGACCCCAGTCTCTTGCCGACTACGGTCCTCCCGACCTCCGTCGTCTATTACGGTCACTCCGACCTCCATCATAGGACAACGGTCTTTCTGACCCCAGTCTCCTGCCGACTACGGTCCTCCCAACCTCTGTCGCCTACTACGGTCACTCCGACCTCCATCACAAGACAATGGTCTTTCAGACCTCGGTCTCCTTCCAACAACGGTCTTTCAGACCCGGGTCTCCTACCAACAACAGTCTTTCAGACCCTGGTCTTCTACCGACTATGGTCCTCCCAACCTCCGTCGCCTACTACGGTCACTCCGACCTCCATCACAGGACAACGGTTTTTCTGACCCCAGTCTCCTGCCGACTACGGTTCTCCCGACCTCCGTCGCCTATTATGGTCACTCCAACCTCCATCAAAAGGCAACGATCTTTCAGACACCGGTCTCCTGCTGACTACGGTCCTTCTGACCTCTATCTCTTGCCAACAATGGTCCTTCCAACCAAACAAACATGTATATGTTGATTATTGTAACTCTCATAATGTAATACGTTCTATATGACGTACATTTGTAACATCAAGCTAAGGCCTTCTCCCTAAGAAGGGCCTCATTTGTAATCAACTGCAAATACTAGTGGATTCATTCAAACTGGGCCAGGCACCGTGGTTTTTCCCCATTTTCAGGGGTTTTCCACGTAAAAACTCTGGTGTCTCTTATGAACACTACACCCTCTCACTTATCTGATTGTGTGCTAGATCTTCGTACAATGCTAAGACGTTAAACTATATATTTCTCTACCGCCGCGAATACTCCAGAACGCAACAATACTAATGAGTAAATAATATATAAAACATAAAAATGCACAATATATGAAGTGAAATCAAAATATCCCAATAATAAGACAACATGAAATATAGTTCAACTCAAACTCCATTCTTTATGAGAAGAATATATTAGTGCAATATATCAAACCCCTAAACATAACAATTACTACTAAAAATGATGAATACAACAATATACCGGTCTGCCGGGGGTCCAAGGGGGCGCTACCCCCTGGCGGGGTTCGACCTGCAAGGGTTTTGAAGTTCTGCTTGTTTTTAAAGTTCATAAGTTGTTTGTATGGAAATATACCGAGCGGTACCGAGCATGTACCATAGCGGTACCGCTCATGTACCGAGCATATACCTGCTCAGTACTGAGCGGCACTGGCTCGACTGATGAAATAGCAGGTAGTCATGACAACATCCCCTCATAACTGATGCAAAACATTTATGTGAAACATCAAGGCCTTGAAAAAATTAAGGTGGTGGTGATGTTTGCGTTCAAACACCACCATTTTTTGTTGAGGAATATAGCAACATGAAGTTCGATAAATAATAAAATTGACAAAGCAGCATGTGTGAAATTGAGATTATATGACTTATATAGAAAAAATGATCATAATGATCCCTTAATTTTTTATGAAAGACAAATTGTCCCCAACTATATTAAATTATTATTTCGGTTCCTCAATTCTTTCAAGAGGAACGAAAATAGTCCCACTGTGGGACTATTTTGGTTTCTTTTTAATGAGTTGAGGGATCAAAATGGTCATTTAATATAGTTGAGAATCATTTTGGTCATTCATAAAAAGTTAAGGGACTATTTTGGTCCTTTTCCTGAATTCTATATTATGATTAATATACAAGTTTTTAATTAATGCATAAAGTTGAACTTTTATTTCTTGATAAAAAGTTTAAAACACATTGAAAGATCTCAAAGTGACTTTAATTAAAATTTATGAATAAAGTGAAAAATCATCAATAAAAATGACAAGGAAGTAGTAGAAGTGCAAGTGACTTAGTATTGAGCTAAAAAACCAAATGTTCAAGTAAATAAACTCAAAATTATAATGGTGACAACTAGGGGCATAAGTGAGCCGACCCGGCTCGCGAGCTCGAATTGTTTATGAGCTCGCGAGCTAAAAATTTCGCCTAAGTTTTAAAAATTTCGCCTAAGTTTTAAAAATTTCGCCTAAATGGTAAAATTCCTGTCCATGGCTCGCGAGCCAGCTCGAGCTCGTTTACAGTGGGACGAGCTCGAGTTCAAGCTTTCCTGTCGAGCTCAAGTTCCAACTGACGAGCCAAGCCCGATAAGGCCTAAACTCGACTCGCTTAAAGCCCTAGTGACAACTAATAGTAGAGGATTGAAAGGGCTTACCCAACTTACATGCATGACATTCAATTTTGTGCACAAACAAAGAACTAGGAGAATTGGGGCAAAATCTCTAAATCTACTAGGAAAAGGTCAATGCCAATGAAAATAAGTAAAGGTGGATGAAAGATTAGAAGGAATATATGTATTCAAGTAATAGAGCCATTAATTAATATTTGCAAGCGAAGATCCTAAAAGATACGCTGAGAGACACAAAATAACATAAAAATTATATGAATTAGTAAGACCCTAAATAAATACTAAATTTACAAAAAAAATTGTAGGGCATACAAAACATCAGAATGAGTTTTCAAATAAATTACAACACCTTTCCTAGAGAGAATAGAGTTGAATAGTTCTTTGAACAGTTCCTTATTCATAATTCAATTTCATTTATTGGACCTGTTTTCCTTTTCTTTCTTTTATAAGAGTAGGCTTGTAATTATAAGTATCTAAGTGTCAATAAGAGATGCTAGCCTATTTATATCCATCCCTTTAGAAAAAATAATTCGCCGGTTGAGTTCATTTTTAAATTACCTTTACTAGAGCGAGATAGGATTCCCTACTTTGAAGAGGAGGGGAGTTCAAAACTTTATCACAATGAATCACCATTGGAGCCCTAGGTCTTCTCCTTTGATTTGCCTAAGCTTGACTAGCAATTTCCAGGGTCAAGAAGGGTGGCCGACAACTGAACTTAACCAAGATGACCACGTAATCCAATTCAGTTTTGTCAACCTGCTATTGAATTATCTGTTATATTTGACAATAGTCAGGGGAAGAAAATAGCAACTGCGCGTATGAATTCTTTGTCGAGGAGTTGTTCAAGGTGCAATAGTTTCTATTTGGATAGCAGGTGTTCTATATCAGTTCTTGGAGTTCTTGATACAGTATATTCTAATCCCAAACTCAAAGTTTCTTGGATTTAAGAATAAAGAATCACCCTCTATAAGGTTCATTAGTTTCCAACTTCCTTATTATCCTCAAATCAGCTAACCTATTGATTTTCTTCTTCTGTACCATTCCTGATGGCTGGAAATTCCAGCCAATCCAGCTTTCTGACAAGATTAACTAGCATAGTTTCTAGCCAGGGAATTTGGGTGTCTAAACAGGAATTGAAAGTAACGGGCAACCAATGGGTTGGGAGTAGTAGCTGCAGCGGGTTTTGCAAGAACTGAGCTCTGGTGACTAACAGGATGACATTTTTGGTTTTAAACTGATTAGGTTATTCTTAGCTAAGGTTAAGGGAATCATTCAATTGTACAAGGTCTATTATAATCTGTATTTAGAGTACCTCTGTTCGGTCAGGTAGTTGTTTTTAAATTTTCTTAGCGCCATTTAGTCTTGCAGAGTTTAAACTGTTTAGCTCCTCCCACACATTTGGGACATCTTTACGGTGTCAGAAAGAGGGTCTAATTAGCCTCAATCACAAGGAAAGAGAGGTGTCATATGGAGAGAAGAAAAAAGTTTGCACTTCACCATGAGAAATGGGAAGAGAACTGATTTTTAAATCTGGAACATTCTTGAGAAGGCAACTACAGCATAATCAAAGATGAAAAGAACATGACAAGCATACGTAGATATCTTAAATTTTTCAATCAAGCGATCATACTCTTGCAAGTTAGTATGATGGAATCTAAAGAAGCGGAGGTAAGAAAACCATCAACATAAACGGATATTCCGGAAGCATGTTTGGCAGTGAAAGTGTAGGCCTAACATCATTTACAAGGAGGATTGTGACAGCCACAATAAGAGCAGTGAGAGGACTTCATCCCACAGCCATGCCATTATTAGTCCAACCAACACAATGCCCTAACGCAAGGGGAGTTTAATAACAAAATGTTGAAGAGGGAGAATATAGCTCAATGACCCTAAGAGCACGGGAGAAAGTAGAAACTATAGGATTGACCATTATCTCACCTAAAACAATAAAGCATAAAGTGAGCTAATTGTAATTTATAAATTTACCTTTAAGTGATCGATATCTTGCATAATGATCATGATATTTTGCATAATACATTTTAAGTACTACACTATTTTAACAATCAAACTTTAACTCTATAAATTATGTACCCGTCAATATCCCCTTATTCTATAAAATAGATCCAATTACCTAACATATTACACATGGATGCCACTAATTTTTAAACAATATTATCAAGAAAAGGCTCACAATAGTCCTTCAATTATTTGTGCACAATCATAGTTCAAGAATATCTCATTTCTCCAATTTGGTTACTCAACTATACAAAATCAATCCCAAATGGTCCCTCAAGGACTAAATTGGGATCAATTTTATATCCCAATTTTCACCAATTTCTATTAAAGGGACAATTGGAGATCAATTTTGCATGATTGAGAGACTAACTTGGACAAACGTGATACTCATAGCACAAAACTAACCATGTATGAATAGTTGGGGGAACTATTTTGAACATTTCCTCTTATATTGTCTTATAATCACCAATTTCACCTCCAACAACAATATATGCCATGTATTCATGGTTTCATTGTGCTATTTTCTAAACCTGTTATTTAAAATTTTCTCAATTGTTCTAACTTCTCACTTTCTTCAAAAGATCTCCCATCTATCTAACACCATCATTGCAAGTAACATACACCAATCAATAACATAAGTCATGAAGTGATTTCAACAGCAATCAAGTGAGCTTAATCTATTATCAAGGCTTCTTATTAATCTTCAAATAATAAAATTTGCACTTAATGATGCATATCTAGTAGCACACCTAGTTAGAAGATTAATTGAAATAAATGATATTAAAGCCCACAATAGTTTACAAAGTTTAAGGTCGGTTTAAATTGTTCAACAAAAATAATAAAACCTAACAAATTCCTACACCAAATTTTAGTTCTCTTTCAGTACTGAAGGTTCGTTCCCTTTGATCCAGTGATGGCAGTCTATTTTCAAGAAAAAAAAAAATCACTTAATATCTTGCGCAGTCACCCAAATCTGAGTTGCTAAGAGTCTTTGCATCTTTTCATTTTCTGCTCAGCTAATTAGAACAGATTTTCACTCTTATTCCTTGCTAACAAGTCTCTATGTGAGAACATCATAACTCAAAAAACATAAGCATAAACAATTTTCCTTGCATCTAAACACATCATGAAGGTTCATGATTTTCCTTTTTCGTAGATTTGTTCACACTACTGTAAACGATAAAATAAAGAAATACAGTTCAACCTCGTAAGTCCTAACATTTTAAATAACATTTTACCAAATGCATAGATTCATCTGCATGAAAAGCAATAGCAAACAAATAGTCAAATCAATATGCTGTTCTTAAAATAAAACAGAGGACCATTCTTCTAGACAGTGCATAAGCTCAAAATCATAATCCAGTCCTAGAAATGAAAATGGCAAAGAATTGCGTTTTTCATTTTGGAATTCAAAAAGAACTCAGCTATACTGTTTGTATTTGCTCGATATGCTGTTATCATGGAGAACTACATACCTCATAGATACAGCAATAACATCCAAGTATACAGCATTTTTTTATTGATCTGCATGCCTTCGCTTATGTCTACGACTGTTGTTATGTGAACGACCACCCCGAACAGCTTTTGTAGCCTTTTTACTGCTAATTTAAAAGAGAAAGTGCAAACGTAAAATACAATAATAGCCGCAAAGATGGAACTAAAAAACACACAGCAAGTGATTCGGGGTTGCAACATGACTAACCTAAAAGTGGATGACAACATCCTGTAAGCCAGAAATATCGGCAGTGCCAACAAACCCGATGCCTTAAATAAGGTTAAACTCGCATTTGTGCAAATAAACGAATCATATTATGAAAATTTAACCTAAAATTGAAGATATATATACTATAAAGTGAAACATACCACAAACCAAACCAGCTCTTTAGTTGCCAGATGCCTGGTCAATTCATATTTCTTAAGATTCTGCTGAAGAGTTTCTTGAATCTAAAAATTAAAAAAAATCATCTTATATAATAAAAATAATTTATAACATTTAAAAACACTAATAATCAGAATATAATATATTGTAATCGAGGAAGGAGAAATAGGATGTTATCTAAATTTCAGTAATACAGAAGTGTTGCACATTTGAAATTAATTTCATAAATCTTGCACTTCTTATTTGCTCAGCCGTCTGATCATGAGATCATCAGACAGATAAGTGTATGAATAATCATCGGTTCATGACTTTCATTAAAATGATTCACCCTCATCCCTTTCACCTAAACTGCAAGCAAGCACTCAGTCTCCATAAAACATATATAAAGCCATTTGCTTTCATAAAGGAACGAATACTGCAAGCAGGAAATAGGAATTCAATAAAATTATAACCAATGTCAGATCCCCAAGGATGATGAACATGCAAAAACTCGTGCCTTCAATCTTTAAATAGAAGCAGCATGCTCTGTAGGAGAAAAAAAAAAAATGATCCAGAACAGTCAAAATGAGACAATAGCAACTACGTGAAAGGATCAAAATGGCTTAGTCAAACAAGAAGTCCAGCTCTGCATTACATCAAAACTGCTAAATGAGACAAGATGTCTTCAAGTCCAAACTCCCCTTAACTAGTAAAGATAATTCAGGATTACGAAAACAACAATAATAGCAACATCAAGCATTTATCCCACCACGTGGGGTAATTCCAAAAAGATAAATCCAAAAAGCTGTATCAGGGCAGTTGATCTCTTCCTTTTCTTTAACGACATACTGGTGTACAGTAGATCCAAAGAGGAGCACTAGGAGCATTTAAGGGTCGTCTTTGGAGTGCTACAGAAGCATCAGCTCAAGGCCAACCTGAAGAAATGCAGCTTCGCATAGACTAGTGTGGAGTACTTCAGGCATTTGGTATCTCAGGAGGGGGTGGCAACGGATCCAGCTAAGATTGAAGCCATGCAGAAGTGGCCTATACCTAGGAACTTGAGAGAGCTGAGGGGATTCCTAGGACTAACGGGTTACTACCGGAGATTTGTGAAGGGGTACAACAACATAGCCTTGCCCTTGACAAAGCAGTTAAAGAAGGATAGCTTCTTGTGTGGAGAAGCGGCTACTTAGGCTTTTGAGAAATTACCCGTTTTGGCTCTACCATACTTCAGTCAAACTTTTGTGGTGGAGACAGATGCATCTGGATATGAGTTGGGGGCAGTGCTGACGCAGCAGCATAAACCCATAGCCTACTTCAGTCAGGTGTTGGTAGCTAGAGAAAAACTGAAGTCTGTATACGAACGGGAATTGATGGCAATCGTGTTGACTATTTAGAAATGGCGACCATACCTGCTGGGATGGCATTTCATTATCAGGAGTCAGGACATATCAATGGAGCTTAAAATACCCGTTGGAGCAAAGGATGGTGATGAAGGAACATCAGAGGTGGCTGTCTAAATTATTGGAATACGATTTCGAGATCTAGTACCGATCAGGGTTAGAGTGTAAGGCGGCTGATGCCTTATCCAGATGTGGGGGAGAGCTCCAGGAGATAACCATTTCAGTACCCCTGATGGTGGAAATTTTTTTTTTTTTTTTTTTTTGGGGGGGGGGGGGGATTCAGGAAGAAAGTGTGAATGATGAAGAGTTGAAAAAGATCCAAATGGATCTACTGAATGATAGGAGCAACAACCTAGGCTAAGCCCTTGAGAGGGAGAGACTGTTGTACCATGGAAGGTTTGTGATGCCAAGAAATTCCATCAATATTCCCCATCTATTATATGGGAGTTTCATGGGGGTGTCATTGGAGGCCATGCCGGAGTAGAAAAGACATACATGAGACTTGTTGCTGAATTATACTGGAAAGGAATGCATAAGGATGTGTAAGAGTGGTGGCGAGGTGTGAATTGTGTCAGATAAACAAGTATATGGCTATGGCTCCGGGGGGTTACTACAACCCTTGTCACTTCCCAATAGAGTATAGGCGGAAGTGTCCATGGATTTCGTTATCACGATCAGAGGGGTTCACTGTTATTATGGTGGTGGTTGATAGACTGAGTAAGTATGCACATTTCACCCCTTCTACGACACCCCTACACCGCAGTGACAGTGGAGGCAGCTTTCATCAGGGAGGTGGTTATACTACATGGGATTCCAAAGTCGATAGTGTCTGATCGAGACAAGGTTTTCCTCAGTCAGTTTTGGAGGGAGCTGTTCAGGTTACAGGGAACTATTCTCAAGAGAAGCATCGCCTACCATCTCCAAACGAACGGGCAAATGGAGGTAGTCAACCAGAGTTTGGAGACTTACTTTAGGTGTTTTGCTTCTGAAACACCAAGGATGTGGGCCAAATGATTGGCATGGGCCGAGTATTGGTACAATATCTTGTACCATTCAGCTTCTCAGATGACCCATTTTAAGGTTCTATATGGAAGAGATCCGCCACACTTAGTGCACTTTGGAAGGGGGAGCACACTAGTATCCTCAGTGGAACAGCACTTGGAGGAAAGGGATAGGGTGTTAGAGGAGTTGAAGAAACATATAAAGAGGGCACAACAGATCATGAAGAGGCACGCGGATGCTCATAGAAGATACATCCGATTTGAAGTGGGTGAGAAGGTTTTCCTAAAAGTGCGGCCCTACAGACAGAAGACATTGGCCAACAGGAGAAATGAGAAGTTATCCTCAAGTTATTTTGGCCCCTATGATATATTGGACAAAATTGGAGTAGTGGCATACCGCTTGAAATTACCCCCATCCGACACTATACATCTAATATTCCATGTGTCACAACAGAGAAAGGCCATAGGGGAGTATGTAACAAGTGCAGAACTATCAGCAACTTTGACTGAGAAGATGGAGGTGGTCTTAGAACCTCTTGAGCTAAAATGAGTGAGATATGACAAGGAAGGAAACAAGGAGGTGTTGATAGCATGGAGGGGGCTTCCTGAGTTCGACGCCACATGGGAACCACATGAGAGGGTGAAACACCAGTTTCCTTTATTTCACATTGAGGACAAGATGAGTCTTTGGGAGGGGGATAATGTTAGACCTGAACCGGTCCATCCTAAACCGGTTCAAGTCTATGCCCGCCGGTCCAAAGGGGGAGGCAGACAAGAGAGGGGGGCAACAGCATTGGTGGGCCCCATGGCCTAAATTAAACAGGGTTTGGGAGGGAAAATGATAGGAGATTTCAAGTATTTCCTAACCACTTTAGAAGCAATAATCAATGACAACCTGCTGTCCACAGCAGAAATCAGCCCCAAAACAGTGGAAAAATAGCAAATCGGAGAGAAAACAGTGGAGAGAAGACTTGTATTTTACTAATAGATGCAACAGAATAGAAAAGATACAATTGATCCTCAATTCGAGAGGAGGATCGATCTCTCGCAAATCTCTGGACGCCGCTAGAGCCCAAAGAAAACCTAAATCTAAGATATCTCAAATTTCAGCCAAATTCAAGATGATCAAATCCTAGGAAAATCTATTATTTAATGCATACAAATCAAAAGGAAATCCCTAAGCAGTCCCTACATTCAAATTTCCCTCTCAAAACCGTCAAAATTGCTTCCTAAAATGCTCTTCTTGAGCGGACGGCCCGCCCGATCTCCGCCTCCTGCGGAGATTTCGCGTATTATGCGAACTGCCGGTCCGCATGCGGACCGGCTCGACCGGTCCAGTGGACCGGTCTAACAAAAAATTTGAATGAGTAGCTATTTAGGAATTAATTAATTTTCCTTTTTGCTTTAATTAGTCTTTCTTGTTAGGGTTTGGGGTTATCTTGAATTTGAAATCATATTTGGGATCTAGGGTTGTTTCTTTTGGGCTCAAGGCTTGGCTAGAGATTTGGAGAGCTGTTTCTTCCTCTCGAATTGAAGAAACTTAAATCGTTTGTTGTTTTCCTGCATGTACTAGTGGAATACTCCGTTTTCTATTAGCTTTTCTCTGTTTTTCTCAAGAAATCTGCTGTACGTTGCTGTTTTTCTGCTGTAAACAGCAGTTTTACTCACTGTTTTCACCAATTGTGGTTAGGTTTGCTTGCGAACTCAAGTATTTCCCTTAGGGTTACTTGCGAACTCAAGTATTTCCGAACAGTCTCTTCTTTGAACCTGAGAGTCGGTGGAGCTACTGCCCAAAATGTTTTCTCTTCAACCGTTCCTTACTTTCAGAATCTCTACTAGTATCCACGCTAATCAACTTCTCAAGTTCAAAAAAGAAATTGCGAAATTCAGCAGCCCCGGTTCCACTATCCTTTAATTAGAATGCCATCTATTAAAGAACACCTCCTCAACCTGAAGTTGTTCAAGATGCATACCACTTCCACATTCAGCAAATATGTCATCCCACCTATACTATATTTGCAAATAACTTCAAGAGGAAGTTCATCATTTACGTCACAAAAATTTTCAAGGTCTCATCATAAATGGATTGCAATCCAGAGAATTTCACGGGAGAGAATACCAAATAAATGAAATGCTAAAATAGAGACTCTCAACCAAAAAGAATTAAGTTCTGCAATGTGGTTATCACAAATATGTGTAACAAAGAAAACAAGATTTAAGTTAAACACCTGATGATGATATGTTCCGGCAGTTTCTAGAAACTTCCCATAGCCATAAAGAACCCTTCTTGTGTAAGGCTTTAAATAAGTACGTGCTTTCTCAACATGAGGCTTGGTTACAGTAGCTACTTGCTCAATATATGGCGTTGAAAACTTACTTAATTCCTGGACACCAGATGGAGCTTGTAAGCTGAACAAGTAACATAAACTAACACCCATAAAGAAGCTAAAGTCCTTCGCTCAATAAAGTAGAAACCATTATAAACAGTTTTATAACAGAGTTATAAGTACCTGAATGTAAGGATCAGAAATCTCTTGGAGCTTAACAATATGTGGTGTGGCAGTACTTCTGCATACTTCAATTACTTCGACTGTTTTTGTAGATACCCTTTCAATGCGAGGTTTAATATTTGTTGAAAATACTATCCATTTTGTCTTCACAATAGGGATCCACTTCTGCAAAAAGAGAATATATCATAAGAAACCTACTATTCACCATTTAGAGCACTAAAGATCAACATAGCCTGAATATGACAGAATGTGTACTTTAAATCACGTAAAAGGTTAGTTTGATCAGCAATAGCTTAAAAATCGTAAAATGAATGTCATTCAGCCTATATTTCTCTACATACTGTTTTTGCAGTTTCCAAATGTGGTTTAAGCCACTTCTGTGTCTGGCCTGATCTCTCTGAAATCTGAAACAAGTTTAACAAAAAATAAAACAACCTACACAGATATATATCTCAGCTCCAAATCTCCAAAATATTTTTAGATTTTAAATATAGTTTTCATTGTGATCATCAAGCACCTTCTGCACTAAAACATTAAAAATAGGCTCTCCATGCTCACTCCAGTGGACTGCTACAATTTCCTGTGAAGGGTATAGAACATCTATTAAGAAAAGAGCTAACCAAAGATTAAATCTACCATCAGATTAAGCAAATTACCTGATACCGAGCAATATGATTTGAAAGCCAAGGTGGCAGCCATGCTCCATGAACCTAACAAAGAACAACTACTGATTAAATTACAGCTACCAAAGCTGTACAGCAGAGGATGAAGATACAGCCATAATTTCTACTAATATTATTGATAAATATACAAGAAAAACAAAATTTGTTATAGTTAATATACTGCCATTCAACTTTTAGCGTGGTCGCTGATTCATTGCTAACCAAAGAATGCAAAAGTTTCATATTAGCAATACAGAGAGGGGAAAAAGAAACTGAAGAGGTTGAAAAGACTAGATAAACCAAACCACCATAAAAAAAATTTTGCACCCGCCACCCAGTAAAAATAGCTTTGTCGTGCCAAAACATATGAATTGGGCCCTGTAAAAGATACTGGTAGGGGTAAATTTAGGTGGGGACATGTGGGGGAACATGTTTCCCCTTTCAATTTGATAGATCTTAAATAAAAGAAGGACCATATTAATATGCCCACCTAATAAAGCTCATCAAATCACCTGATAACTTCCCTAATAATTATTTAGCCTTCATATTCCAAATTTCAAGTATGCTCCCAACTACAAACACTCTTCTTAAGCCTTTCTATTCTCTTCTTACTCTCTCGATGTCCTTCCCTCCTGTGAAATATGATGTGAAACGAGAGAGGATTGGATCCTAAATGTCTTGAAGAGCAAATCAAGGGGTCTAAACAGCAACTTTGACTCTTAGAAAATTATGGACAGCAATCTCCAATGCTTGAATAAAACTTGGGCAGCTGTTATAAGGCTACTGGAGGCTTTTAAACAGCAATTGCAGACCTCCCGGGGTGCAGGACAGCACTTGATGGCTGCAGGAATCTGTGGACAGCACACAGGATGCATCAGGAATTGCTGGAAGTTTCTGCTGCAGCTTTACAGGGAGGAAGACCCAACGTCAGGCAGCATTTTGGGAGAGAATTGTAGAAGGAAATTAATATATCAGCCTTGGGGATTTTCGGCCAGCAGATAAATACGGAGATGGTTCAATTCCAACGTGAGGGAGGCTGAAATTGTGGGCAGAATTATGGGCCAGGTTTTGGAAATACTTCCAACGTGAGTGAAGCTGAGACTGTGGGCAGAAATTGTGGTGGATCTTGGATATCTTGGCCACGGGAAGGAATTTGAATTGTTTCCAAGAGAGATGTGGCTTTAGGAAACAAATTTATGGGGTATTAATGAGGGGGAACGGTGGAGGCATAAGCTAGTGATGAATTAATGGGTAGGGATTTAATTCCTGCTACAAAATTCTTTAGATTAGGGAATCAATTAGGAATTTAATCAAAATCTGAATTTTAATTTCAGTTTTAATTAAATTAGGAGGGAATTGATTTGAATTTTAAAATTCAAATCAAAGAAATTAATGCCATGAATGGGGGAGTAAAGGAGGGAACTAATTTGAAATTTGAATTCAAATTAATTAGAGATAGGGAGCTTTAAATGAGAATTAATGGAGAGCCCATTAATGGTGGCCGGCGGCATGAAGAGGGGGGAGGGGATGGTGGTATTTATGAGTTTCCAAAACAAGCTTGGCCAATTAGGATGGAAAATAATGAGTCCTCTCCAAATTGAATTTAGATTGGATTCAAAATTTGAAAACTTTCCTTTTTAGACTTTTGCAAATATGGAAAGTTTGAACCTCAAATTTGAATTTTAAATTTTGAATTCAAAATTGCTAGATTCTCCCTTTATTGCAAAACCGAAGTTAAGGAGTCATTATGACAATTTGAATGTCATAATGACTTGGATCATGAGTGTGGCCGGCGGTCCAAAGGAGGGAGGAGGTGCCGCCGATCGGGTGGGGAAGGCCGTGGGAAGGAGGCCGGCGATCGGGTGGGTGATAGTCGTCGGCTTGGAGAGGTGGAGCTAGAGGAAGACTTGGGTGGATGAAGAGGGGAGAAAGAAGATGAACAAGAATATATGAAAAAGATAGAGATAACTAACGAACTCACAAAGAGATCGTAAGAACCGCGAACCTCGGACTCTTCCAAAGATTGACGGGTATTGCGTTTGCCCTCACCTTGGGCTTTCCATAGAACTCACACAGAGATCTAGGAGAGTTGAACTCACTAAGAGATCAAGAAAATATGAACTCACAAAGAGATCAAAAGTAGAAATTTTCATTCATCATCATCATCCTAATACAAGAGAATGAGCCTCTATATATAGGCTTCAAGAGAAATTAAAAGACACATTTGCCCCTTGGGCTTACATAAGACAAGAGGGTAAAAAAGGGAAATTGCGAAACTAAATTAAAATACACTTAATAAATGAAAATAAAACAAAGTGATCTCGGTCGTCGATCTTCAGCTCCTCCTCGGATTGGCATGGACGGTTGGATGTCCGCATCAAAATATCTCACAAATCAAGCCCAATCCTTCCATCAATGTCACAATAACAGGACTAACTTTGCTAAAAAGCTTTAAATTTTTCATTTTAAATTTAAATAAAGGATTTAGAACCAATTATGAACAACATCAATATCTCTCTTATTGATAACAATTGACTATGCTCTTTTTTTTTGATTAATTTGTCTAGGAGAACTTAAAGTAAAGCCTGGACAAAAAAAAAGTTATAAAGACATATGATTATCTCAAATCTAAAGATAGTTTATGTATTTAGCTATTTTCAATTTATGATTTGAACGTATTGAAAATTCATGATTAGGATTATAATAAAACATCAATATGAAGGTGGATTATAATGGTTCGACGACAGATGCATTAAGAAAAAAATTGTTATCTTGGTAATGAAGTAATCATGCATTCTTTTAGAATATGAAGTCATGGCCCTTTCAAAAGCTTTAATAAATTTTTTTTTTTAATTTCATTTGAGAAAATAAAAAAAAAATTAAGTAGTCAATTTCAATCTTAAACTTGTACAAAATGATTTAGAGTCAACACCATTATCCAAAAACTTATTAATAGAGCAGTTTTTTTATTTTTATGCTTCCACAATAGAAAAAAATCTGCCTCCACCACTGTATGCTAGCATTGGCATAATAATCAACGTGGCTAGTTAAAATTCAGTCCACCACTCTTTGCTTCGCATATGTGGCAATCTTAACGTCTGCTCCTTAATTGTGGCATAGCTCACAGCAGGAAGATCGACAACTTGAAATAAAATATGTGCATATTAAGGTGGAATCTAGAGATACCTCATAAGGGGAAAGGGCTATCTTTAGCAGGCAACTCATGTTCATAGAAGAACTAAAAGCTAGTTACACTGAGTTATAATTGTTTTGCACAACTTTGACATGAGGTTTAATCAAAACATCTATTTTTAGTTCATGAAAATTTGATTGCTGTCAGTTGGATGGCCAAAGTAAAGGTGCGCATTTTGGCTTTTATTAAGTAAGTATTTTGTTGACAGATGTTGGGCATGCTGTACTTAGTAAAAAGTGCTCCCATCATCAATAAACCATGACATGTTTGTTATATATTAAGCAATCATATGAAAAACTAGCCTAATATAGGAAATTAGCCTGACATTGGTTTGTTGAGGAATAAACAAATGCTACATTCTAACTCAGGCCTATTGACACTATAGCACAAATTCTAGGAGTATTTTTGTGAAATATAATGCATTAAGTATAAGAGCCTTATTCTTCTCTTTACCAAGCTCAACTTTCATCAGAAGTCTATCGAAAGAAAAGCTCTTCCTCATGGATGTAAGTACTTGATTTTGAGTGAGAAGCATAAAATGACAAGTGGAACCACTTCCGAACGGTTTGTTCAATATATTTACAATGCAATGTTCATGTTGATACATGATGTCTCAAGATGAGGTGCACAAGACACATCAAATCAAAAGTCTCTACTTAAAGACCACCAACACCAAGTAAAAGAAATCACTTATTTTCTTTTGATCCAAGCCATAAAAATACAAAGACACTTTTCCAAATGATAATTTTATGTTAAAATTTTTGAGGAAATTCTATGAGAAGCTTGAAAACATAAAAAATCATGCTTCAATTAAAATTCACTGCAATAAAAAAATTTCCGTTGAAGCAATTTTAACTAAAATCACTTGCAATACCCAATATCAAATTAAAAAGGAAAAAAAAAAGGGTAAGAGACCAACTAAAAAAAATCATGCCTCATGTTGGTAGAACGAAAAGACCCCAAAAAAATACAGTCGCACATGCATTACACTCGAAGAAGTTAGCATCCAATAAAACAAAATGATTGAGAGAAATTAAATTTTAAAAAAATTGTTCTCTTGCGTCTTTCATTGGACAAGATTCCATAATAAATGAAAAAAAAAAACCTTTACAGAAATTCAAGACAAATAGTTTTTGGTCCAGGACTCAGTGCATGAATTGCTCACAAATCTCACGCAATGCGAATAACATGCGATGTTGAAGGTATTGAATTCACTCGAAAGGAATTAGCGGGCACATGAAGGAGCAGCAAATGTAGATGCCAAACTCTTGAAAACAACTTCTACAAAGAAGTTGAACTTGCAAAAGTGTTGGGTGCATGATGCAAAAGTCATGTGGGTTCAGAAGGGAAGGTCAGTTCGGTGTCAACAAAATTAAGGCTTTTGTTTTTGGGAAAGATGGCATGACTAAATATGATTCCACTGGAAGAGATTTAGAAGAGGTCTCACATAATCCAAGAGGAGTAATTCCAACCTAAGAGGCCCTTGAAGGCTATTTTCTTTGGATGCCACACAATGTTTCCTAATAATAGTGAAGATTAATGACGATGACACAAGAATTATATTTCTTATCTATCAAATCATATAAAATCTTAAAAATTCCTAACGAGTAACTTAAGTTTAAAAAATATAGTCTCTTAAGGAGTCTTTAAGAATTAATTCTAAATTTAAAACTCATTTGAAACCACATAAGATTGCCTAGCTATATGAAACATTTAATCATATCACTAAGATATTTCTGAAGTGGAGATAAAACAAAAAAAAAATCATAGTGACTATGTCAATAAAGTGTAGAGCATAGAGATGCCTCATATGACATATTTTTGGCATGCTTAGAATTTAGCATGCTCTTTCTATGAAAAAAATAGATAAAAGAAAACTAAGACACACCTCAACATTACATGTACATGTAAAATATTTTATTTTTTATTGATCCTTAATTTTCTGCTTAATGCATCTGTTGTTATAATTTAAGTTTGATTTTATTTATTGAAAACATTAATATTAGATTTTTTATATGTTTACAATAATAATAAATAAAAGAAAACAATTGGGCCCTTAGAATGCCACATCTTAATTTCAAAATTACAATATAATCACATGTTTATGGCACGTCATATATGTGCATTATGTTGGTATTTATTACTTCATAAATAGGATTGTTTGATACCCATTTAGCTTCTCGCCTTTTCCAATTACATTCGATGTGATGGCATAGTTATAGATATTGCCAATCGATGTTGGGATGGTCATAAGTCATAACTGTATGATCTTGCTGCCACCACTTTGGTAAGGCTATTGCCAAGCATAATGCCCAAAGATTTGTGTTGAATTTGTCAAACCTAATGGAAGTTCAAGAGAATTCAAAGAGAGTTTATTGACAAAATTCAACAGAAGAGGCCCTTCACAAGTTAAAGTGAAAGTTAATGATTTAATTGACATAATGGGTTATCCAAGTTATAATCTTGATGATTTATTCGAAAAGATTCCACCCATAGGATGATAACTTCAGCTTTTATACCTTCCTTTTTCAATCAAGTACATGATGGGTTAAAAATCATGACCAAGCACTATGAGAGGTGGGTATGCAAATTGCTGTGGAAAGAGTTTCATTAGCAAAGTAGTTCGTGCTTTTCTTAACCCAAAACAAGAATGTTAATTGGCTATTTGAGAGTGGATCAATAATAGTGGTCAAGTCGCCTCCATCATAAATAATTAATTGCATGAATCTAATATTTTGTGCATCTTCTTCTACAGACCTTGCAATAATGGGAACTATGCATTGATTATACCCTTTTTAGCTGCTATACATGTGGCAACAAGAGACTTCAAAGTAATTACCTTTGAATATTTATACGTACAACTGTTTATTAGTAATTTGAATATGATGAATGGCTAGATAGCCATTTCAAATGTTGACCATTGAAGTGGTTACAATTAATTCCGTCACTATGAGGAGGATGGATAGAATATTTCTTTTAACATCCGATGGATTTTGTGCGATTGTATACCTTTTGTGAAAACAAATGTGCCAAGTGAGATTATGAAAGTAATGATTCATGTATTTGAAAAGGTACATTCCATATCTTTTTCACACCATTTTGATCTATGAGAAGACCTTAAAGGACAACTCGATCACCATACGAAGCTTTTAAAGGTGCCATAAAAATTGCACGTCAAGTTGAAGTGGATAAAACTACTCATCAATTTGATGTGCGTATGCACAACTAATTGGACAATCTCATTTGTTGTATAAACAATTTAGCTAACCAATAAATGAAAGCTATGCACAAATAGCCTTAGCCTACCAACAATCATGAGACTAGAAGTTCAATATATTGGAAACCCTCTACACAATGTTTATTGGGGGTTTTTAAAGGTTCATTAAAGATTTCATTTCTTATGTTTCTAATGATAATTAAATGTTGTATTTTGGATTGGCCAAAATTAGACACCATAACCTAGACATAAAAAATGAGAGAACTAAACCTGAAATAAGTTTAAAATGTCAGTTGGAAACCTTGGAAAACTATGTTAATAATTGTTCCATCTCACCAAACGAAACAACCTCTTACAAAAAAAATAAAAATAAAACATATGGTTGGACAAGCCTGATTCAAAGAACCAGTTTGGTACTCTTCTCATCTCTCATTAAGGTGGTGAATAGATATTTTAATCCTAGTGGGAATTGGATACAGGTAAGATTTGAGAGAGAGGAGCAAGCAAGAAACAAGAGAGAATAAGAGAGGGTGACAGGACGCATGCTAGTAAGGTCGAAAACCTTTTGAGCCTGATCGAGCATTCTGAGCAAATAAAACAACAAATGACTCGTGCACAAGAGGCCCGAGTATGAGATGGCTGGCATGGGCAGTGCAAGGAAGTTTGGATCTTGGTTCTACAGCTTGCAATTTAAAGGAAGAGGTGATGGCCGGATGACATACTTAGGAGGAAGATACTAAGGCTTCACATGGATTACTTTCTTCTGCTTCATTCAGGTTATGGTAAATATCTAACCTAGCTTAATTTATATGATTACTTTCTCTTGACGAGATACCACCAAAATACTTAAACCTAGGATTATATATATTTGATGATTTAGGAGGTGCAAGTGAGAAGATTAAGATATACATATCTTATAAGCCCTAAATGATATTACGAAATTTAATTTATGCATATGTATATATACATTTATACTTTAGTATCCTAAATTGTTGGGATTTATGCAACACAACAAATAATTAAATCATAGATATGGAAGTAGGGGTACTAGTGTAGGTGATGAGATCCATATATGATTTTTTTTTGGGTTAATTATGAGCGTGAATTAGGAGATATTCATAAATATCATTAATTACAAGAATATCCTCAATTAGTTGTTTTGGTTATTTAACCTTTGAAGTTTTGTGTGTTGAGAGCATGTTTGATATGAGTTTACAAATATATTACAAATACAAATATTGCAAAAAATACAATCAACATTATATTATATAAACGAAATACTATTTATTTATTTACTTATCAATATAAAACAAGACAAACAAAATCAAAAAAGTTGTTCATGTTTGGCTCATTTACAAATTGAGCTCAAACAATTAATTCATGTTCGGCTCACCTAACAAATAAATCGAATGAGCTTTTTGCACAGCCCTATAAAATATTTAGTTGATTCAATAGTAATTAATTCCTTTGATGAGTTATTATAAGAATCAAGTTTTATTTACATTTCAATGGATTAATTAGTATGTGTTATTAGATTTAAATACTTTGGTTTTGTTAATGGTGGAAAATATTATTACAAATATATTTATACTTATTGAAATTTATTCTAATTTTATCTAGGTTACTAGGTTTTTGTGATATTCTTCCAAGCTTGATGGGTTAGCTATGAAACCATAAGGGCCAGCACAACACATCAAACCAATATTCATCTGTCAATGACACTTCCATCTCAAATAAATTCATAAGAAATTTTGAAAAGGCTAAAAAAGAGAATATTTAACAAGAAAATCATTTTTAACTAGGGTCGATCATTAATTATTGTTATGTGGAAAATATCAACTTATGCACTGAGAAACAAACCATAAGTATAATGAAATTGCCTTGCACTATCTCACCTCTTTTAAGTCCTTTAACTTGGAAATTTGTTCCAATTGCACCCTCATCAACTCCTCCTAACAAGTTTAGTGAGAGATATCAAATAAGCACTAGAACCAACGGCATATCATTATCGTCAAGAAAAGGTATAAACATACCTCAACCACTTGAATAGCACGTTCTGTCTTCTGAATTTTAAGCTTCTGCTCATCATTTGTTTTCTCAAGCTAGCAGAGAGGTGGGAAGAGAAGTAAATCATAAAAACAACAATAAGGATTGAAATATTGCAAGAAGAGCATGTTCTCAAATAGAATCAAAATTAATCATGAATACAAGAAAAGTGTTTCTTTCAATGTGCTATGTATTTTGCGAATCATTAATGAGGACAGAAAATTGAAACTTGAAAAACTGAAAATTACAAAATACTAGTCAAAGGATCAATTTTTTCAATTTAAAAGAATGTTCGTTATAAAAATTTCAGAAGTTAAAAAGACATTATCTGAAGCGCCTAAAATATACTGATTGAGCACCATCACACTAAATCATCTTTGACATAAAGAAGGGTGAAAAGCCAGGATATTCCTACAAAGGTATCTTAGTAGCAAAAAATACTAATTTCAATGGGTGAAATAGTAATTTTTTAATATATATGAAATTATACATATAAGTGAAAGAAAAGCTTTGAAATGAACAAAAAAAACTTAATACAAGACATAAGCTTCTTCATTTTTGCAGGATGAAAAAAGGTTGCTAACTACAAAAGTTGTCTTTAAGATTTCAGCCAATGCCAAAAATAATAATAAACGAACCTTTATAAGGGATTACCTTTGACGTAAAAGTGGAGAACAGTTAAGACAGCTCCTGGTTAGGTATATTAGTTGCAACTAATACAAGAAATGAGATATTCATATTTAGTTAAAACAAAAACCCAATGACTGCAGTGGGAACTACAGTGCAATAGCTTGTAACTATAACAGCTTAAGATGACATCAGAGGTCAACTACAATTCACTCAATGTCTCGATCAAATCCTTAGCATACAACAACTTCACTAATCATTATTGATCATCATCATCATAAAAAAACAGCCTTGTCCCAACTATTTTGGTTCATCTTTATGAATCCAGCTTGATTCATTCATGTCAATTGAGAGCTATATACGAGGAGCTTACTCTATTAAATTTAAACAACTGATTTTCCCCAAATTCTATCAATGTTATGGTCATCCCTAACAAGCATATTGATCATATATGGCGCCAACATTCAAGTGGCTAAAAAAACATGCCCTTTTAACAGCATTACATGCAAGCTTCAAACCTACATAGGAGAACCACACATCTCTATATGAATCATTGGAAGAAATGACACTTAAGAGAGACATGCAGGTTATTATAAAATAGTTTAAAGCAACCTCAAAAATCATGGTTTAAATCTGCTGAACAATATGGAAAAAAGCAAGTGCCTGCGCATATACAAATTTTTTTAAAAAATGCACAATAGTTATGCCACACAACACTCGGCTATCAGCCATCAATAATAAAGCTATTAATCCTGATGGAACTGAAACAAATCTCTTAATTCGTCAACATGGAAAATAAGTTTAGCTTAGTTGAAAATGAATTTGAATAATGGCATTTTAAAGTGAACATAAGTTGTCACCCATGATTGCACTCTTCAATATAATAGCCTAAGGAAAACATTAAAATTATAAGTGTAACAACAAACAAATAAATTTGCAGTGTACAAGAATACAAACACTATATTCTATTTCTCATGAGGTTTACTGATCATAAACACTACCAGGTAATTTTAATAGCTTAACAAAGCAAGCTCTGTCTCTGTACCAAGACAAAGAGGAAAATATTAAGAACCATGCCTTGAAAAGGGAAAATAAAGACATAAAAATGATAGCTCGGGAGCTTACACTCTCCAATTTCAGATTCAATTCTTGCACCTTCTTTTCTGCTTCCACAGTTCTTGCTTCCGAGGCAATTCTCTGATTCGTTTGCTCCTCTATTTCATTTTTAAGCTTCTCAACCTGCCCAAACAGTTAATCATGATTTATAAAAGCTTGACACAACTCCATGAGCAAACAAAACAGTTCTCATTCGCCCAACCTGCATCTCAAGTTCATTTGAACGTTCATAGGCTTTTCCCACCAATTCCTCTACATCCACAGCCCCCTTTTTCTGTAACAGATCATGGCACAGCCTTTCATTCCACAACACACCAAAATTTTAAAAAATAAAGAAACTCTAAGATGATCATACCAAAATACCGTCTAACGCTCACCTGCAATAGTTCTATCTCGCTCAGCAGCGATGCAATACTAGCGGACTTCTCCTGAATGCCCCTCTCCAACTGCTCAATCGTCTCATCCTTGTTTTTCAACTCTCTCGCTTTCTCCAAAGTTGAAGTCTCTTCATCAAAATAGAAATAACAGTAGGAAAAAATTTTAACATTCCAATACCATATCAAATTTACAATAATCTCAAAAAATCCTCGTCACAAATAACAAACACATCGCTAGACAATCACCCACTTCTACCAACAATTTGAACGAAAAAATATCTTATGCAGTTCTTTCTAATCAGCATTTTCTACCGAACAAACATAATAAAAATAGAACCCTACTCCTATAACCTAAATCCAGAGTATCACGGCGATTTAACATCAGTGAAAACCATTGGAAAATCCGACTAAAATCCCGTAAAAAAAAACCTAACTAGAAGAAACCAAAACCCACCTAGCGAAGAGATCTTCGACTTGAGATGCTCGATCTCAAGCTTAAGCGCCGAATCCGACTCCTCTGCTCCCACAACATCATCAACATGAACAGCCATCGCCTCGTCCTCCGATCTGATCCCAGCAATCACCATCGCAAAAAGGATCAAAAGAATCCAAACCTTCAAAAACCCCATTGAAACCGTCAAAAACACGAACGAGCGCAGAAATTTTCTCCTCTCGCTCCCCAACTCCAGCAGAGTCTCTCTGCAGCCCCACGCCTGTTGAAAGCGAGAAAAGAGTAGAGCGGGAGCGGAGAACTAGTAGATAGGTTCATAAGATTGGCCGATTGGGGTTTTTTTTTTTATTCGATTACTGACCGACACGTGGCGGTTGCAGATCCAAGGAGGACTGTCACGTGGATTCCATTGGAATATCCTGGCCGTTGGCTGTACTTAGTAACGGTTGGGATTCGTTGTGTACTTCTCGAGCGGGTGACCATAACTATCCGAAGTACTTGGCATCGGGCACACTATCAATAAATTAGGCAGAGGTTTCCGGACCGCTTGATGACGATCGTACGGTGTAATTGATGATTAGACGAAGATAGTTGAAGAGTAGTTGAGGCTTGGGCCCGGGATGAGTAATTAGAAGAAAGAGGAATATTATATATGAAAGGTGGTCAAAAAGTTCTACCACAAATTTAATTGAACAAAACTTTATATCTTAAGGCTTATTAATATTGTTTAGTAACATTTGATTTTTTTTTTGTTTATATTATTATGTAAATTAAAATTATATACACTTTTTAGATTAATCAAAATAAAGACAAACAAAAGAAAATGTAAGTAGGCATTTTATTTAATATTAAATTTTTTGTGTTTTCTTCATTATTTTATGATAATTTCACAAATTAATTTTTATTCAAAATTACAAAATTAACTTAAATATTTTACTTATAGATATGATAAATGGCATAAGATTATACAACAACAACAACATCATCAAGCCTTTGTCCCACTATGTGGGGTCGACTACATGAATCATTTTTCGCCATTGTGTCCGGTTAAAAGTCAAATTCTCATTAAAATCTAATAAAGAAATATTATTTCTAATATTTTCTAACCAAGTCTTTTTAGGTCTGCCTCTACCTTTCTTAACATAAGTCAAATTTTATACCTCAACTTTCCTAATTGGGTCATCGGAAGGCCTCCGTTTAATGTGACCAAACCATTTAAGACGTCTCTATCTAATCTTATCTTCCACTGGAGCTACACCAACCTTTTTCACGTATATGCTCATTTCGTATCATATCTCTAAGAGTCAAGCCACTCATCCACCTAAGCATCCTCATCTCAGCAACACTTAACTTAGTATTATGCTTCTCTTTTAATGGCCAACATTCAGCACCATAAAGCATTGCAGGTCTCACCATCATCTTATAAAATTTTCCCTTAAGTTTGAGGGGGGTTTTTTTTATCGCACAATAAACCCGATGCATTCCTCAACTTCAACCATCAAACTTGAATTCTGCTAATAATATCCCCATCAATTTCACCATCACTCTGAACAATATATCCAAGATATCTAAAACGAGTAGTCTTATTAATGACTTGATCGCTTAAAGTCACAATCCCCTCACTAGGTCTATTGCTACTAAAATTACACTAAGTATATTTAGTTTTGGATATACTCAAGCGAAAACCTTTAGACTTTAAAGTTAACCTCCATAATTCAAGTTTACCTTCAACTCCTTCTCTAGTCTTATCAACAAGAAGAATATCATCATCAAAAAGCACACACCAAGGTACATCCTCTTGCAAATGTCTAGTGAGAACATCAATGACTAAAGCAAAAAAAAAAGGACTTAAGGCTGATCCTTGATGTAATCCAACCAAAATAGGAAAATACTTGGTCAAACCACCTTGTGTTTGAACACAAGTAATAGCTCAAATGATTTGAAAAAGAAGAAGAATGAACTAATAAAAAAAGAAAGTCTTTTCTAAATAGCAAATATTTTTATCACAAAGGCATAGATCTTGGAGCTCTCTACAAAGATCAACATTTTACTCAAGTTGGCATTTTCATGCCTACTCTTCTCGTTGTTGTTGCTCGTGCCTAGGGTGGATCGACCTTAAGCTCAAGGGGAAATTGCCCACCTAAAAAAATGAAACAATTCTTTATTATATGATTCTTTAGGCAATTTGTGCCCATCAATCTATTTTTTAGTCATTATTATAAGGATTTTAAAGCAATTGCCATCCTTTAAAAGTTTTAAAATAATATAGTCTTTAGGCAATTGCCCCAGCATAATTAAATACATTGTGTAAATGTGTTATTGTTAAGGAACGATAAATCAAACACAAAGAGAAACAAAAAACATCTTTATAACCAAAATTTGTGTACAGGTCGAACCCCTCCAGGGGGCGCCGCCCCCTTGGACCCCCGACATATCTGTGAAGCCCACGACAATCAAGAATATGAACAAATAGAGGTCGAGCCAAATTCAATGCAACTCCAACATACAACTCAACCACAAAGAATCATTATTCACTAATATGACCTATTTCTACATTTTTATTTTTAAATTTGCCCCTGAAAATTAAGGCTGATTCTGCCCCAGCTCGTTCCACTACACCATAGTAATCTTGTCTAAAATATTATTCCTGTGTCATTTTGTCATCCCTATAACTCTAATTGTTTGATTTTTGTATTACATCAATGTATATTCAGTTGACAACTAGAAAGGCAAGTGCCTGCAGAAGAGCACTCCTATTATTGCTCGTTGATCGAATATAGATTGATTCATCCCTATTTGTTGAAGGATGCAGCACGAAGGTGTCTTAAGTTTCATTTGACATAATCTTTTATTGTTTTTAAAGCAAATTTAAATGGTATTCATTCCTTGCTGAAGAAATTGTGCATGATCACATTGTGTATTATACTACCCAAACCATTATATAAGTAAAATTTCTGCATGTAGTAGCACTGCAATGACAATTAAGAACCTCCACATTCCACTAACTGTAGATAATTAATGGTAACTATTGATATTCTTATAATCTTCACGAAGAACACAGAATGCATATCGTCATTAACAGTCGGTACAGACAATGACCACAGCAAGAGGAGAAACAGGATAGAAATGAGTTTTGTTATTAGAAGTTCCGCATAATAGATGTTGAACTTAGCAAACAGAAGCTTTATGCTTCGTTGGGGACGGCTTTCTTTCTGCTTCTTAAAGTGACTTTTTAGTAAAAAAATAAAAAAATTTGTACTAGAAAGCCGCTTTAAGAAGTAGTAAGAAAGCCGTCCCAAACGAAGCCTTAGATGATGAAATGTAGCAATCTGGCAAGCTAAACGTGCTTAGAAATGACATTGGGATGGGAGTCCCAAGGCCACATATCAGTTCCACAGCTTGAGATGTCTCCATTAATTCTGCTCTGCAGATTATTTAAGCTTGTGAGGCTTGGCAATGGCGGACTCTGGCTTCTCAGAGTTCCATTCTTTGTTCCGGCTTCTTGCACTTCAATGTTCTGAACTTGAGAAGCTAGTGATGAGCCCATGAAGAAGCCATCATTTTCTTGGAGTTCTATGGTGGGCGGGAATTGACGGGCATTCAGCAAGTGTGATGAATTTATGGTGGTTTGCAGAAGATGATCAAGGCTGCAAGTCAAGGAACCTCTGGAAATCATATCTTCAGCCATCTTCACCTGAAACCATAGAGAATGGACGCTCTTTCGTCTTTGGTTGATGCAATCAAAACTAAGGCTTCGTTTGGACAACTTTTTTTACTTCTTCTTAAAGCAGTTTTTTAGTACAAAAATTAAAATTTTAATTTTTGTACTTGAAAGCTGCTTTAAGAAGCAGAAAGAAAGCCATTTCAAACAGAGCCTAAGTGTTTATTTGGGACGACTATATTTGTCTAAAATAATTATAGAATTGCAGTAGGAAAGAAGAATTTTTTTTGAATTTGATGTGGGAATAAAAACTTTCCTCTTTTAAAAAAGTCTGATGATAAATTTCTTTAGTATAAAGATCCAGGATGATGTTGAACTTGCCTATCATACAAATTTTGCTTACCTTTACTCTTAAGGCTTCTACACCAGATTTGAGAATCCGGTTATCTGTAACTGATTCAGTGAACGTTTGATTTGTTTCTGTCAGTTGCTTGTATAGAGAGGCATTCTCTCCCCTGAGTTGATCAACCTGGTCAATCAACCAACAAGAATGATATAAATATTAGGGCTCATCTGGCTTCTTGCAGATATAAAAATATTTTGAAAAATAATAATTTTGTTTCATTCGTTTCATGTGAAACTGAAATCACTATATTTTAGAAAGTTTTAAGCGATATTGCGGAGCTTAAAGCAATGCAGATTTCTATCTACATCCTATCAAATGATCAAACTAACAAACTTTATTGTTTTTCAGAACATGTTTTTAACTTCAAGCAATCAAGTAGAAGTCTTGACTAGAATGATTGACAGCAGCTGCAGCTTTTATCGATCAAAAGCAAAATACGCGAGATCATCAAACGTAAGCATATGGAGACCAGGAATGTAAATTTTACATGTATATCCATGGTGACTTGGCCAAGGCTTCCTTCTAGCTTGTTTTATATATATATATTGTAAAATTATTTGTATAATATAATTACTAAGAAATAATAAGAATAAAAACTACTACTTCCACTAGCAATTTTAATTTGATATCAAAAACGAAAACTAAATTGTTTGTTCTTTTCGAAGAAAAAGAAATACTTATCTAATAGTACTCAATCAAGGCTAGGGAAGTTGTTCTTTTGGAAGAAAAAGAAATACTTATCTAATAGTACTCAATCAAGGCTAGGGAAGTGAGCCAATTGTACATAGTCAAAGAGACTCTATTCATTAGAGAACTTTGTTTCAAATCATTATCAAAATGCACTGAGTGATAAAATTTAAAGGTATCCAACACTTCATTGATTTTTATTTTTCTTTCATTTCTCTTCCCTCCACGAACAGATGATACTTTTGTAGTTGTCACTATCATGTCTGACTTCGAAAAAAAGAAAACTATCAATACAGTTATTAATGCGCTTATTCTAATTAGATGTAATGAAAATACTGAGTAAAAATAATATTAACTGTTATTCTTAGACCCGTTAACTAGAAATATAAGGCAAATAAAATAATCATAGTAAAAATTCAGAAATGCCATGAAAAAACTCACTTGTAGTTCTAGATCAGCCAAATGAGCCTGCTTTCTCTTTCTTGATCGTCTGGCCGATTCACGGTTAGACACCATCCTGGAAGATTAACAATGCAAAAAAAAAAAAAAAACTATAAACAGTTTTTAACAGTCTCATGTCCTAAGAAAGGAATATCCCGATTAAGGGAAATTAGACAATTCTAATAAATGCACAAAACATTCTTGTCTTAATAGTGTAGTTTATGCAAATCCATCCATGCCCATAGTTCATCGAACTCTAGGTTTTTATCAAACCTGTAGATTCATGTTTACAAAACGGTTATTTGACTTGTATTTTAGCATATATGCGGAGTTATGAGAGCATTATCAAGCGGCTTCACTCAATCTGGCTTAAAGTCTAGAGGCATGCACTAGATTGTTTAGTTGTATAACAAACTATAAATACGAAACCAATGAATTGTAACACTTTTACATCACATTTAGTCATAAGCTGGATCCAACTGTGAAAATTCCTACCATGAATGCTGTAAAATTTTCTATTATTGAAAACCAACATGTCATAACTGATAAGGACAGAGACTGAGTTTGACTTAATGACTCTGGCCTTGATATTTTATATTTATCAATCCATACAATTCAATCCGGACTTCCAAACACTGCAGAGCAAAATATCCAAATATTGATAAGAGTCCAAACTAATCCTACAACTTCATGGTGTTCTTATGACCAATATTAGCATTTGATCACAGTTTTTTTAAATATCAGAAAGTCTGGCAATTTTCTGTGCTGAAACATGTCATTCAAAGTAGGGCTATCAATATTTGACATGACCCGAAAACCCGACTCGAACCCGACCAGAGAATTCTGGGTTCGGGTCAACCCGGACCCGAAACGGGTCAGGTTCGGGTTCAACAAATCGACCCGTTTCAAAAAATAGGTGGGGTTCGGGTTGACCCAATAACTCAAGATTGATCCGTTTTGACACGAAAACCTGTTTTTGACACAAAAAACCAAAATTAACCCGTTTTGACCAGAAAATCGGAGAATGACCCCTTTTTTTACCCGAAAACTTGCAATTTTTTGTCTGTCCCGGTCATTCGGGTAATGTTGAGTTGACCCGAACCCGAAGCAGGTTAGGGTCGGGTCTGAAAAATAGACCCATTTGTCGAAACAGGTCGGGTTCAGATTGACCCGAATAGTACCGGGTCAGTTTCAGGTTCGACCCGAACCCGACCCGTGACCCTAAATTGATACCCCTAATTCAAAGGATTCAAATTAACAATGATTATCTATTTTCCTTCCCTTGCTCAAAAGAAAAGAATATCTAATGCTTCCAAGCTAAAGTAGGAGTAAAACATAATTTTATTGATACCTTCTCATGCGCTTTAAATCATTAGTGTTTGTACCATGCTCATATACTCCTGCTTCTGTCTCCAAAGATTCATCATCTGACTGCTCTGAGCCACTTGTTCCTCCAGGGGCCTGGTTTTCTGTACTTTTCAGCATGAGAGATGAAGTTGGACTCCCAGCTGTCATAAAAAAGAGATTTCTAAATTTTAGATGTGCGATCATTCATTAGTAGAAAACACGCCAGATCTACCGGTAGGATAAAGAAAGAAAGTAGAAAATATTCGACTCCACAGTAACTAAAACTGAGAAGCTAGGCATTTCAAGAACTAATGGACAGAGTAATGAGAAGATTTTAAATGATGCGACTAAATGATTTATGCACAAATGAAGAAGCCAATTTGTTAGTATAAGAGAGGAAAAGAAAAGATTATACCACTTATGGAGTATTGAGACTCAATGGTGGTAGTAATACTGGAATGCAATGTAGTAGGGTTCTGAGACCATATCTGGCTTCCCGTCAAAGGACCACCAGGAGAGTGACTAGTTGGGGCATCCTGATTTCAACAAAATAAGGAAGAATCCAATCTTGTAAATATGATCACCAATAACAAAAAATATATGTATTTTCATTCATGTTCTTTAATTAAAAATGTTTTGTGTTCAACAGTAAAGGAATAATCAAGCCTTCTGAATGAAATGCTGAAAATAAATATTATAGGCAAAGTGTAAGTCACATACTAAATTTTAGATGTGCGACCATATCCCAAATGTTAGGTCACTCACTAGTCTGAAGATTACATGAGAGTTTCTACTTGTACCACTGACAAAGACATTTGTGATAGTCTATGCATTATAAGGCACTAGTGAAGTCAAACAATCTAGGTTGAACATTTTATTGCATGATTACGAACATTTTCGCATGAAACCTGATGAGATTATCTCATACATGTATAATAAATTTACTCAGATAGTGACATCCTTGCATGCATTAGGTAGAGAACTTTAAAACTTTGAGAATGTTAACAAAATTCTACATTGTCTAACAGATAGTTTTGATACCAAAGTTATTGTTATATGTGAATCGAAAGACTTGAATGTTTATTTCATTGATAATCTGGTTGGCTCACTCATTGCCTACCAGCAAAGTGTAAGTCAAATACTTTTGAATGCAGGTGATAAGAGAATAGAGAAGACTATAGCGCTAAAGGCCAAATACACATATAAAAATTGCTTAGGAGATGATGGGAGCGAATAGAAAGCGTTAATAACAAGCCAATTCAAAAGTTTCCTGAAGCGCAAGCACAAGCAGCGTCAACTAAATTAGAGCAAAGGTAAAAATGGTAAAAAATATATATTTTTTTCTAACATTATTTGCTTTGGGTATAGGAAACCTGAACATCTGAAGTTTGAATGCCCCAGTTTTAAGAAACAACCTGTGAAGAAAAATGGTGAGAATTGTTGCGGATCAATGGTTTATAATTTTGATGATAACAAACATTTTTATTTCTCTACGACTGTCTTATGTACTGACATTTCAGGTTCACACGATCGGACTGCAATTTGGAACCAGCTCAAGATTGGGTAGACTAGGTCTGAGTTTGTTTGTACACTTTTTTCTTTCTTGAGTCTATTGTATTTGTTGTGGCTCCTGATGCTTTGTAACGTATAAGAGTTTCTAACTATTCCCTAGAGTTTACTGTTTTTGGTAATATCGTCCTGGACGATATTTATATCGGCAGAGACGATATGTTCAAAAGCAGAAACCCTAATTAGGGCATCCTCATTAAAGCAACAGTCATTATGCAAAATACATCGTCCTGGACGATTTTATATCGGCCAGGACGATAGGCTAAATTCAAAAAGTTTCTGCCACCAGATCTACTTAGGAAATTCTTATTTTTGGGTCAGGGGTATCTTTGGTTTTAAAGTTATTCAATTCACCTCTCTATCTCTTTATTTTGCCTTGGGCCGGTTCATAGGGCTTAACATCCCTAACGAACTTTCTAGTGCCATCAGAGCACTTTCAAGAATAAGCCAAATGCAAAAAGGGGAAATGAAAAGTAGTAAAAAATCTCCTAGACCTTAACCTCAAACTCATCAGAACATTAGTAAGAAGAGGAGGTAACGAACCTATGCTTAATGGCCTAGGATTAAATTGTTAGCTTCAATCAGGTATAAATATGTTAAGGTTTATTTGTGTGTTTGTTTATATATTTTGTTTATTTTTTAAAAATTATATTTTATACATGATTTTATGTTTTAGTTTCTTTTTGCATGTTTTTATTTTTTTATCCTTCTATGTTGTTTAGATTAGAGAGAGTCGTCTTAGATGATTTGGTCACATAAAACGGCGGCCTTCCGATGACCCGGTTAGAAAAGTAAATGTATTATATTTGACTTATGTTAAGAAAGGTAGAGGCAGACCTAAAAAGACTTGGTTAGAAAATATTAGGAATGACATTTCTTTATTAGATTTAAACGAGAATTTGACTTTTAATAGAACACAATGGAGAAAAATGATTCATACCTAGTGGGATGAAAGCTTGATGATGTTGTTGTTGTTGTTGTTGTGTTATGTATTTTAGTTATTTTCTTGCGCTTATGTATTTTTTTTTTGTTTCAAGCATGTAGTTCAATTTCTTTGTTGTGTTGTCTCTCCTTTTTGGGGATGTCAAAAGAGAGAGTAGATATTTGGTTATATTTGTTCATATGTTATTTAGTTCAAATTTAATTTTTTCTTAAATTTTAAAAAATATATTCCCCTTATTTTTAATATAATAATTTTCTTAATGATGGAGAGATTATAAGAAAATAATATTAGTTTGCAAATTCAAACAATAGTGTTTGTTATCATAAAAAAGTGGAACATTGCTGTAACTCGGGCTCCCGAGTTTGTGATTTTAATGATAACAAACATTATTGATTGTGATGAGGACATCGTCAGCATCTTTCGACATGTGTACCTTCAGGAGATGCCGGAGATCGACGGCTATGATCATGAGTTTAATTTGAGTCATTTTATGTAGTAGTTTATTTGATTTTTATGTTTTTCCGTTTTTGCTCTAATGGGTGGTTAGTTGCTATTGTAGCCCAAAGGGAATTTTAGTCTTTTATTTTTCTTTGTCATTGTGAGGCC